AATGAATTTATGACATCATAAATGTTCAAAACTATAATCCAATATTTGTAATGTCATCAACTTTACATAACATATGTCACTAAAATAAAATGGTCAATTAATCTTTTAAGTTTACAATCTTGGGTGATGATTTGATGAAGGTTTATGATAAGCAACGCAACTAATCGCCAGCTGTTTTTATGGTAGTGGCCTCATTCACGGCTCTTTGTAGTGCTTTGCCTCAACCACGTTTTTGAGTACGCACGTATTGCTAAAATATATAACATAATATAATATAATATATGCCTTTCTGGTATGATTATCTAAATAAAGTGGACTTTCTGATTTTGTTATGGCCGTCAATATATTAAGCACTTCTTAGGCTTAAAGAGGTGGGGTTGGCATGTCAAATATTTCAACATGGACAACATTTTATGCCAATGTTTTATGTTTTTAAATCGCTTCCACAAACTCACTGCTTTGGCAACAGCTATTTAGTTGATAACACTCTGCACAAATTCAAGGTGTTTTTTTATTTATTTTTTATTTTTTTTATCTAGCGAAAGAAGCCCGCTTTAAAATTGATTGTATGGAAAGGGCTTATTTTATCTAGATTATAAATATTTATACTGAAGATTTTTTTCCCCCTCAATTACTCTCATCATATACCAGTTCAAAAAAAAAAAAAAAGGGGAGCTCTAAGAGAATGATATAAAACTAAAGAGGTGACCAAACATGATGGATTTCTTAATTTTTTTCTTTTTTTTTTTTATAAATTTTGACTTTATTTTATGGATTATACATGGTAATCTTGACAAATACCCTTTAAAAGTTCATGGGTTAGGATTTTTATTTTTTACTCTTGATTTATAACCTTTTTAGTCAAATAATTACACTAACAAAAGGGTATTTATCAAGAACAATGGGTAAAGGTTCAGATTCATGCACTCTCAAAAATAAATTCTCTATTTATTTTTTTATTGTATTTTCAACTCACGGCTTACCCAAATCCAAGTTTTATTTTTTCTTTTTTAGCTAACGAAAGAGGCCCGCTTTAAAATTGATTGTATGGAAATGGCTTATTTTATCTAGATTATAAATATTTATACTTAAGAATTTTTTTCCCCCCTCAATTACTCTCATCATATACCAGTTCAAAAAAAAAAAAAAGGGGAGCTCTAAGAGAATGATATAAAACTAAAGAGGTGACCAAACATGATGGATTTCTTAATTTTTTTCTTTTTTTTTTATAAATTTTGACTTTATTTTATGGATTATACATGGTAATCTTGACAAATATCCTTTAAAAGTTCATGGGTTAGGATTTTTATTTTTTACTCTTGATTTATAACCTTTTTAGTCAAATAATTACACTAACAAAAGAGTATTTATCAAGAACAATGGGTAAAGATCTAGACTCATGCACTCTCAAAAGTAAATTTTCTATTTTTTTTTAGTGTATTTTCAGCTCACGGCCTACCCAAATCCAAGTTTTATTTTTTCTTTTTTAGCTAACGAAAGAGGCCCGCTTTAAAATTGATTGTATGGAAAGGGCTTATTTTATCTAGATTATAAATATTTATACTTAAGATTTTTTCCCCCCCTCAATTACTCTCATCATATACCAGTTAAAAAAAAAAAAAAAAAAAAAAGGGAGCTCTAAGAGAATTATATAAAACTAAAGAGGTGACCAAACATGATGGATTTCTTATTTTTTTTCTTTTTATTTATTTATAAATTTTGACTTTATTTTATGGATTATACATGGTAATCTTGACAAATACCCTTTAAAAGTTCATGGGTTAGGATTTTTATTTTTTACTCTTGATTCATAACCTTTTTAGTCAAATAATTACACTAACAAAAGGGTATTTATCAAGAACAATGGGTAAAGGTCCAGACTCATGCACTCTCAAAAGTAAATTCTTCATTTTCTTTTTTTTATTGTATTTTCAGCTCACGGCCTACCCAAATCCAAAAATTACAGTTATATAAATGCTTTTAAACTAGAAAATAAGTTGGACCGAAGTTTTTATAATGTCTCAAAGGATGTAAGTAGAATTTATATGAAACGTTTGGTTTATGGATTTAGAACCACAATTTATGATTCTGATTTTTAAATTTTAAATTTTTTTTGAGAGAAAAACACCGTAAAGAACTAAAAACCATGATTCAGAACCAAAAACGAACTCTTAAAACAAACATCCCATTAATCTCACATTTTAGGAATACAAAACCGTTATACTTATTATTATCATGCACAACGTCAAAAGTGAAATTGATTTGCAAATGTCAAGCGACTAATTTATCATATTACTTTGTTATTTATAAAGTTATTTATCTTAAGTTGACATTATGTTCTAATGACATCAGTCTCATTACATTACGTAAACAAAATGTAATAAAATTTGATATACAATTTGTCAAAAACAAAGAATACTTAAAAAATAATATTTCACCAACAAACTTATAACGGTGGTACTTAACAACAAAGACACATTGATATTTGAGCACACGTTACTACAAGCTGGGTGGGATTTAAAAAAAAAAAAAAACCCAATAAAGAAATATGAAAAAAGAGAAAATAATAAACAAGAATTACTTCGTACCAATTGAATAATCTTTTACCTAACATTTAGAATGTCATGAAACTAGTTCTTGATAATCGTCCCATTAACGTCCTTCTATTAAGAAGTGGCACATATTAATGCATTCTTAACGCAAATTAAATGCGAAAGCTTATAATAAAAAAAAATCAGGGATTAGTTGTGAAATGTCTTAAATTTCAGAGGCTAAAATGCAATTAACTTAAATTTGGGGAACATTTTTCAAATCTTATGTTTCGTTAAGAAAAAAAATAAAAAAAATTTATTTTTAAGGGTGTATAAATCTAAATTTTTATTTTTTATTTTAGTAAATATTTTTTTATTAATATATTTATTTAATTAAAAAATTATAAATTAATAATTAATAATTAATAATCATGACTTTAACAGCTATTTGTCGAATTTTTAAGTAATCAGGCCCATCAATCGTAGATTTTGGGCTTTGATGGGCACGCGGCAAGACGAAATGGGGCCTTTCTCTTGGTGGGTCCCACTGACAGCATCTTTCTTCAGACACGGTCACGTGTCACGATCTCTCCTTGCTTTTTTTTCATTCAGGGTTGTTGTTATTACCCACTTGCTTATGTGACGGCGTTGTCTCTGTCCCCACAAAGTACAACTACACCCTCTCTACTTGCAACTATACTCGCTTCTCATGCGGCCACGTATCGCCCTGACCTTTCGATATGGACTAACGTTGGATTTTTTTTTTTTTTTTTTTTTTTTTATAGAAAAATATACATTTGAAATTTGATTGCTATGTATTTCTTAAGGAGTAAGATGATAATAATAAGTCGTTTATTGATAAGTTACGTAAGAATGTTCTGCTATTATTGTATTATTTTTTAGAGATTGTCTCTGCTAAATCGTCTTATCATTAGAATTAATTTTTTAATATTTAAATTTAATCATAATTAAATGAAATTGAAACAAAAATATAAAATAAATAATTTTTCATACAGATCTAACGACTGAAAAAATAAAATCACCGATAATTTTATTTTTTTAGTCCTAGAGGAGAAATTTCTTATTTTTATTGTAAATTTTCCTAATTTTTTTATTTTATTTTTGTATGACTTTGAACTTCCAAATCCAAAATATACTCTAATATAGTAAGGAGATTCTTTAATATACCTGGTGTATCGATAAATTAAATTTTTTAATTATTAAATTTGCGTATTTTTTTTGTTTTTACGATATATTAACATATCAGAGAATTTCTCAATATAGTTTATATCCATGAGAATTTTACCATAATTTTTTTTGGTGAATTAACATTTGATTATTAATCATTTTAGTGGCTGATGTGCGAAGAGCCACGTATATAGTAGTAGCACATGTGTATATTTTATTTTGTGAAATGAGATAGTAATAAATATTTTTGTACATTAAATTGTTCAGAAATGCTCGCTATAGGTATGGTATTTTTTTTTTAGAAGAAATAACGAATTTAAGCTATTTATTACCTTAAAACATAAATTAATACTCATTTATTATACTAGTTAAAATAAAAATTAAATGTATAATTTGGGATCTTTGGATTTACTTTTCTTTAACTGAGAATTTTGAAATTATTTAAAAGATTTTATGTGTCTACAAAGATATTTGATGAGATGTGTGTCTTTAGTTGATGGATTCGTGTCATAATTTAAATTATAGTTCGTGACTCGTTACAATATTTTTTCTCATAAAAAATACATATAAATCAAAATAGTTCTAAATTATGATTCGAAATCTATAAACTAAACGTCTATACTTAAAAAAAAAAAAAAAAAAAGGATAGAATCACCGTTTCAATAAAAATGACTAGCTCTTTAGATAAGTTTTTTTTTTTTTTTGGGTCCTTTTAAATGGGAACGAGTATACTTGAATTAGGCAAGGCAAACTACAAAAGAACTTGCAAACATGTTTGGTGCTAGACAGCCCCTTTGTCTTGAGAGTAGACCTTTTGGGTTTTTTTTTTTTTTTTTTTTTTTGTGTGTGTGTTTAGAGAATATAGACCTTTTAGATTAGAAATTAGAATCTAATGCATATGTGCCGGTCTCATAGGGCAACAAAGTCAATTGGATTTTCTCTCTCTAACATTGATTTCTTTGTCCTTTTTCAATATCTCTTGAAGATTTTCGTGAAATATTTTGCTTTGTGCTCTTAATATCACATTATTCATCCATTTGTTTTTTTATTAATAACAAAAAAAAAAAACACTTCAAGAAAAAAATAAAATAAAATGAAAGAAAGAACGCCCAAGCCGCCAATTACCGACAAACCTTTTTCCTACAAAGAAAAAAATAAGAGAGAGAAAAGAAATTAGTGGATAAATAAATAAATACGATTGTCATTTTCATCATAATAACTTGGTGGACTTTCTACTTGAATTTCAGGATAGCACGAAACCACCAAAAAGCTCAACATTCATAGAGAGAGAAAAGGAAAGAGAGGAGAGAGAAACGCACACACAAAAAACTCACAAGGACAAAGGTTGTAGTTGTGTAAGCAAGTTTAGAGAGAGAGAGAGAGAGCACGAAAATTGAGGGATTACAGATTCATACATAGAGAGAAAAAAAAAAGAGAGAGTAGATTTTTATTTTCTTTTTCTCTGTTTGTCTTTTATGTGATTATATATTTATTCATCAATGGCGAAGAATGAAGACCCCGAGAGATTCTCCTTCTCCGCTGGGCCCACAGTGCCTCCGGCGGTGGCGGCGCGGCCTACGATAACGCTCCCGCCGCGGCCGTCCATGGACGCCTTCTTCTCCGGCGGGACCGGGGCCAGTCCGGGGCCGTTGACTCTCGTCTCTAGATTCTTCTCAGACAATAACCCCGATTCGGACTACAGGTCGTTCACTCAGCTCCTCGCCGGAGCCATTTCGTCGCCGCTGGCAAGGCCGCCGCCGAGCTTCCACGCCGATAATTTAGCTCAGAGTTTCTCGAAAGGAGGCTCCGACAAGGATTCGGGGTTTAAGCAGAGCAGGCCGGTGAATTTGGTCGTGGCTAATCCGCCATTGTTCATGGTTTCTCCAGGGTTGAGCCCCTCCGGACTCTTGAACTCGCCTGGGTTCTTTTCGCCGCCGGTAATTTGTTCTATTCTCCTTTGATTTCTTAGTCTTTCTCTGTGCTAATTACTGGTAATTTTGGATTTTTGTTGTGTTTAGACTCTGAAAAATTGGGACTTTTTTTGGGTAACTAGAGGGTTTCACTATACAATTTGATGCTTAGAGATTCATTTTTGTTTAAACCGCCTCAGAAATTGTGATGAATGAACTGAATGGAAATATGGAATTACTTTGATGGAGATACTTTAAGCAGCATGCTGAGAAGATCCACCTTGCATTTTCAACAATTGTTTGTGAGAGGGAAAAAAGTGAAATTGTTAGCAAAGAAGCCACTAGTATCTGTGTTTTGATTGATTTGTTTTTTTTTTTTAAATCTTGGTGTAGAGTCCCTTTGGGATGTCACACCAACAGGCCTTGGCGCAAGTTACTGCCCAAGCTGCTCTTGCCCAGTCTCAAAATCATTTGCCCTTGCACATTGAATACCATCAACCTTCCTTAGCACCAGCATCCACAGGGACGCAGTTACTTAATCCATCATTTGTATCCAATGAAGCTTCACAAAAGCAGGCAGTATCGTCGACGTCCGACCACAGAAGTTCTGCCGTTGAATCGTCCGGGGCGTCTCATTCCGATAGAAAATACCAAGCTCCTTCCGTTGCCACTGATAAGCCTGCAGATGACGGCTACAACTGGAGAAAATATGGGCAGAAGCAGGTCAAGGGCAGCGAATTTCCGCGGAGCTACTATAAGTGTACGCACTTGAATTGCCCCGTGAAAAAGAAGGTTGAGCGTTCCCCAGATGGGCAAATCACTGAGATTATCTACAAAGGGCAGCATAACCATGAAAAGCCTCAACCCAATAAGCGTGCCAAAGACGGTGGTGATCAGAATGGGAATGCAAATTTTCAGGTTAAATCCGAGAATTGGGCCGGGAACTTACACAGGTCAAATGAAACTGCACCTTCCCAGTCAGTGTCCGAAAGGGATCAGGAATCTGCACCAGGAGCTCTTGTTTTGGTACCAGGCTCAAGTGATAGTGAAGAATTGGTTGATGGAGAAGTTAGAGAAGATGACGCAGATGCTGATGAGCCAAATGCAAAGAGAAGGTATTACTTTAATTTATTATTTGATTTGAACCTTAAACCTTAATATTGAGCTCTTTTGTTTCTTTTCTGCTTTTTTCTTTACTAAAAAAAAGAGAATCTTCGATTTGGAGTTTAGGAACATAGATGTTGGAACATCTGAGGTGTCTTTGTCACAAAAGACAGTTACAGAACCAAAAATCATCGTCCAAACACGAAGTGAAGTTGACCTTTTAGATGACGGTTACAGATGGCGCAAGTATGGCCAGAAAGTGGTAAAAGGCAATCCTCATCCAAGGTTAGCAGTTTCTTCACACGTCTGTGTCCTTTTATTTCTGTTATGGTTTGTTTGATTTTTTGTTTTATACACACACACACACACACACATTTCTGTTTTACTGTTTGCATGATCTAAATAGCTTTGTCAATGTAATAATTTATTAATAGTTTCATTAGTTAACTTACTGGCTATGAAATTTTCTTCACACCCGTTCGTTTCCATTTAAGACCATTTTAATTGACAGAAACAAACCCCGTAACAATTAAAAAGAATGATGAAGTTGGACCGAGACTGAAGTTTACAGTTACTAAGTGGAGAAAGCTGTCAGGTTTCAATACTAAATAGGGGAAAAAAGATGAAAGCATGATGCCAAGGTTAAGAAAAAAAAAAAAAAAAGAGGACTTAGAAAAAAAAAAAAAAGAGAAAATTTTTGGGGATTTTAAACTTTTGGGGAGGGAGAAAGCTGTCAGGTTTCAAAACTAAAAAGGGGAAAAAAAATGAAAGCATGATGCCAAGGTTAAAAAAAAAAAAAAAAAAAGAGGACTTAGAAAAAAAAAAAAGAGAGTATATTATCGGGACTTGTAACTTCATGGGATGGTACAGTCAATTTGTTTCTACCAAAATGGTTTATAACACACTATCGGGAGTTGGCTCAATCAATTAAACGATATTGAAGGGAAGAAAACCTTAATAAAGAAATTTGCCAGAAGCTGCTATAGATTTTGTTTCTTTGTTTTAGCACCGACTACTTCTCTGGCTTTAATAAGCGTTATTATTTCAGCTATATGGTTGCAGTAACATTGGTCTCTTTAACGGTATCTTGGAGTTATGGTTCTTTGTTTTTTCTTTTGAATTTTTGGCAGTGTCTTGCAATCATACTTGTAAGTTGAAGTCTTGTTATGCAAATTGACACGCATGTTAAGCGACTTTAGTTTTTGTTTGCTCACAACATTTTGATGTGTTCATTGAGAAAAAAAGACATGTTGATTTCAAGCGCTCTTCTTGACCAATGTTATTTGCTACCTTGTTTTTCTTTCTTTTTTTTTTTTTTCCGTTTTTCTTTGTAGTTTGATGTCACTATCGGTGATGATCTCACTTCACGTGGTGGCTTCCAAAAGTTATTGTTGGAGTAACTGCATTAGTTTGTTGTCTGTGATGTTATATCTTGGCATAATTTCCATGACAATTGTTTTATTTATTTTATTTCTAAATTCCAACATATTTCTTTGAAATGCAAGGAATGAATTTTTTCAGGCCGCTTGTGATACTTAAATGTGTGATTTCAGGAGCTATTACAAATGCACTAATGCAGGATGCAACGTCCGTAAGCACGTCGAAAGAGCTTCGACAGACCCCAAAGCTGTCATCACTACTTATGAGGGAAAACATAACCATGATGTCCCGGCTGCTAGAAATAGTAGCCACAATATCGCTAACAATAATGCACATAGTTAAAACCAATCAAGGTTTTTTCTCAGAAGGAAACAAAGATCAGACACAATCACTTTTGCAGCTAAAGAAGAAAGAGCAAATCACTCTGTAAGTTGCTCTTCCATGTAACGGTAAGGTCAGCAGTCGATTTCGATCAACTAACATGGTGCAAAATGAAGGAAATGTAGGAGAGGAAAGACATTTGACAGGTTTCTGAGGAAGTAGTGATATTTTGCTGGTTGGTTTGTTTTTGTTTCTTACCCCAACATTTTTTTTTTAAAAGTATTTGTTACGCATTGCTGCACAGGTATGATACCACTCGCGAGGTCTTGTACATTTAATTTAAATTCAGAAATGATGTTTATATGATTATTATTGCCCACTTGAATGGGAAACGGCTGCAACAAATGTCTAAACGTGGTTCCTAGTTTGTGTCTCCCCTTTGGGGCTGTGGTTACTAACTTACTATTATTGCCAGGTTGAAATTAAATAAAGTTTGCTACATAAAGAGTTAAATGAGGCCAGGGAAACATTGGAAACCTGCTCTGCACTTTGGTTGAAAGAATTTTTATTGGCTTTGCTCTTTTTTCACTTGCATTTGCACATATGTTAAAAAGGTTTTTCTTTTTTTTTTAATTTGTACATTTGCCAAAAAGAAAATTCCGTTTTTTGAGCTATTTATTAGTAAGTACCTGAAATTTGTAAAATTAGGAAAGTGATAATAAACCGTGATAAATCTATAATAAATCAGTATATCACTAACTAATTTGGTGGTGTGTCACTGATGGGCTTAGTGGTTTATTATTGATTGATGATAAATCAATTTTAATCAATGATTTACCGATTTATCAACGCTAAATTATTAATAAATTAATGATAAATCTGGTATATCAATGATTAATCGTTGTAAAAATAATAAAAAAAAAGTCATTTCTCAACTTAAAAAAAAATAGTGATCCACCTATTTATTTTATTTTATTTTATTTTTGTGTTTGTGTGTGTGGCTAGAAAAAGGATTCACATTGTGTTAAAAAGTTCTCGTTCACTTCGCTGATTTGAGTTTGTAATTCGAGTTGAGATGTAATTTTATGTGAGTTTTTTACTGTAGTAAAAAAGTTAGATATGACTGTTTTTGAAAATTTTTTACTGTAACAATTCAAATTTTAAACTCAAATCGGTGAAGTGAACGGGGTCGAATGCATGTTGAGTTATTATCTACAAGATCCGATTTGATCTTATGTTTCCCAACACCCTTTTAATTTGGGAGGCAAATCAGATCGAGTCAACAGGTACAAATCTATAGGCACCCATAGCTTAAAGAAAAAGAAAAATCGAATCCATTTAAGAGTGACTAGGACAAAGCTAAATTTGTAGACAAGGGGGTTACCAAAAGATAAAGAATACCAAAAAAAGAAGAAGAAACGTGGAAGACCAAACTGTGAATTGATTTAACGGCAAAGTGACCCCGCCCACTCAACTGAGTTAGATCACGAGATCATTAGTCGCATATTAAACCTAATTATTTTGGCCTCCATAATTATGGAAAATTTTGCTCTCACGTTTTCCATCATAATAATGATTATGAGAACAATCCCATATGGACTTTTTCTCTCCAGAAATTCATTCTCCACCGTTTGGAGTGAGGAAAGGCGAAGTCATGCAATTTCTTCTCTGTTTTATTTTCTAAGATTGAAATGATACGCGTTACACGGAAAAAGAGAAAATCAAATCTGAAATATTGATGCGTCGTGATTTTATAAAACTGTCTTATTCTAGAGATCTCTAGAGAGATGACCAAAAGGCTAAACTTTCTTTGGAGTAAAATTTAGGCGGTCTTTCTATAGTCCGCTCTAAGAGTCTCAATTTTTAATCATTAAATTTGGTTAAAATCACATCATATTAAAAAAAATATAAAATAGATAAATTCTGATATAAATTTAACGGTTGAAAAGTAAAGTACTATTGATAGTCTATTTTTATATAAACTGCTAAAGAAAGTCTCAAAATTTTATTGTTTTAAGTTTTAACCCCAACTATTGTTCACTTTCTTATATTTGGATATCCACGTCATTTTCTTTCCAGAAGTGTCATTTAGGGCCCGGTTCGCTGACTCAAATTTTTAATTCGAGTTGAGATTTGACTTTATGTAAGAATTTTTTATTGTAGCAAAAAATGTTAGATGCCACTATTTCTGAAAGTTTTTTTTACTGTAACAAAACTCGAATTCTAAACTCAAATCGGTAAAATGAACGGTATCTTAGACACCATATGTAAACAGAATTCTCGTCAAAATTATCTCAATTTAAGTGTTGACCAACTAGACATAGGCCAATAGTAATATGTTAACCTCCACTCAAAGACTTTTAAAAAAAAAAAAAAAATTATATTAATGAGTTATGTCACAAAATTTAAATTTAAAATTAAAATAATTGATTTAAACGCGTGAATTAAATAAGTATTTAATACTTTTGACATATTGACTCGATAAAATGAAACAAAGATTATAAACGGTGTCTATTATTACACATACTAACAAAGAAATAGTAATTTTATATTATTCCAACAAGGCAATAATCCCATCACTCACAAGGGAATAGACTCCACGTGAGACCCACGTGACCCGATGGGATAAAAAGCATTTTCCATTTTTTTTTTAAAAAAAAAGAGCAGTTCCATAGAATTCAGTTTTGTAAAAATTACACTATGACATTTTTTTCATAATTGAATTAAAATGTGACTTACTTTTTCAAATATCACATGGATAGCTTTTTTAATTACACCTTACTTTTTCAAATATCACATGGATTTTTGAATTACACTCCAAAATACCCTTCGATTTATTTTACTGAGCATTTTTTTGTTTATTTCCGGATTCTTCTCCAACAACTTGACCGAATATTTCCTTATTCTAAGAAACAACCAACGATTATGTAATCTTGTATATAAAATCAAATTAATATTCTAATTCAGAGCAACAAAAAAAAGGCAAATATAATACGATTGTTTAAACTTTTTATATTGGTAAAAGAAATAGATAAACATTCATCAATTAAGAAACATAGATAATGATAACTGAAACCATCTCCTAGTTCTATTAAATTAATTACTAAGTAATTATGTCACTGAAATAACAAACAACAAATGATGCACAAAGATACTAACATATCATTAAAATAGAACATCATTAATGTAATGTGATATCAATTATAATGTAATAGAACAACCTATTTTAATATCAATTATAAAACATCAAAAGTTTGTGAGTCTCGTATATGTTTAATGAAAGAACAAAATAAAAAGTAATTTTTACTACAAATCAATTTTTTAGAAAATACAAAAAATATAGATAAACCAACGATTCTTCTCCAACAACTTGAACGAATATAAAAATATTCAAACATAAAATAAAAAAATACAAATAGTTTGAATTCTAATATTCAAATATTTCCAATCCAAATATTTCCAATCTGGATTCTTCTCCAACAACTTGACGGAATATTCTAATTCAGAGGGGGAAAAAAAGCAAATCTAATACGATTGTTTAAACTTTTTATATTAGTAAGAGAAATAGATAAAACTTCTTTAATTAAAACATAGATAATGATAATTGAAACCATATAATGTCATTATTTTAATGAGTATGTGTTTTAAAAATATGATATAGTGTATCGTTACACAAAATAAATGAATCTCTTTGGTCACTTCTTTGATATTGGGAATTACAGTTGTGTTCATAATTGTCGTTTCCATAGGATTAACGAATGAAAAATCCTGCAAAAAAAAAAAAAAAAAAAAAAAAAAAAAAAAAAAAAAAAACATTTTGTAGTGGTAACTTGTAATAAATTATTATAATGACATATCCATTAAATATCATAATGAATTAAAATCTTTGACACTCTACATATATACCGAATCATTCTTTCTCTTTGTCACATTCTCATTATCACTAGCACTTTCAGATAGAGTTATATCTTCCATAATAATTTAATTAATTTATGATTTAATGATATTTTAATTCCTTTTATTTTGAGATTTGATTTTTTAAAACAGATAAATATCTCGCGATTCATGGGAAAAAAGTAAAACAATATCTAAATTATGTAAAAAAGTAATATATCATTATAAAGTCAATAATGTAATTACATAATACTTTATTTAAATATCATTATACAATGAGGCATGTATGAGATATTATCAAACATAAGCCATATTTCAATTCTAGATTTGTAATTTAGCCACATGTGTAATCACCCTCAGTTTATAGATGAGGTCCACCAAATAATCCCACATCTACCCAACCAAGAAGAAGAAGAAGAAAACCTTAAAAAATAGTCAAGATGGTCCAGCCCAACCCAAATATTAAGGTTGATAATATGAGTTACGATACGATAATATAATTTAAAAATGACACAAATTTCGCAGACTAAGGTGGAAAAAAAGATGTTTGGGTCAGAATTGAGTCGGCCTGATATTGACACGAAAAATACGGATCATTTTAAAGTTGAACCCGTCTAACCTGAACACGACACGAAACTCGTAAAAACTAAAAAATATATATTTTTATTACATATTTTATATTTTATTATGAATTTATGATATCATAAATGTTATACTCAAAATGTTATATTATTATTTGCTTAATTTTGATGGATGATATTGTATTTTAACGCGTTATCAATTTTAAGTTAACATGTAAAAAACTAAAGAAAAATATATAATTTTCATATTAATTTTGAATTTACGAGTCAATTTTATATCACAAATCATTTTCATGTTATGTTATATCAACTCATTAAATAGTCGTATCATTCGCGGTTTTTAAAAAAATCTGTATCACAAATCATATTTGAGTTTACTATAAATTTAAAAAAATAAAATAAAATATAACACAAACACAACACATAATATGAATTACTATCCTTCCCAAATAGTGTCCAACTAAGCCCCAACAGAAAGCAGTTATTGCCAACTGTATTTGTTTTTTAATCTATTATTATTATTATTATTATATAAATAAATAACTCCAAGAAACGACCTGTCCTGCGCCGAAATACACGTGTCGCAGTGGTGTAACAGTGGAGCTGTTGGGCTGACAGTTGGTGTGCAACCACCATTACCATTGCCTCTCTTTCTCTCTCCTATCAAAGCATTAGCATTAGCATGCAACAAACGGAAAATAATGACAGAAGTTCCCACTCCCCTCAAACGGTTACATTTCACCTTTTCCCACCTTTTCCAAACCCAAGAAAAGAAAAAGAAAAGAAAAGCAAAAGCCCTCCTCCCTCCTCTTCAACTCCCAAAAATAAAGCCAACCAAACCCCACACCCCCTAACAATGGAGCACTTCGGTCCCACGCTGTGTTCTTCTTCTCCTTCTCATTTCCTTTCCTTGCCTTTCGGACCGTTTTTTCTTTTCTTTTCCTTTTTTTTTTCTCCCTCTTCTCACTCACTATCCCTTCTTCTCGTCTTCTCCGCACATCTCGCCACTTCCCTGGACTTGGACGACACAAAATTTTCTTTTCTTTGTTTTTTTTTTTTCCCCTTTTCTTTTCTCTCTTTTTGTGATAGAGGGAAAAAAAGAAAATAATGAATTTATTTTCCTCTCGATTTTCCCGTTCCCCAAACGCTATCCCCTTCGCCGCGGTCAATGCGATTGCGATTGTCATATAGGCGGGAGGCGCGCGGCGGTGGAAAGAGAGATTTCGATTCTCCCGGATCTCTTTTTCTTTTTCCGATTTCCCGCCCTCCCTCCAATCAATCAATCAATCCATTCTTGATCGGAAATTACTATTTTTTTTTTTTAATTTTGTGTTTGAGTTTTCGGTCGGCGTCGCCGGCGGATGGGTTGCATAAACTCGAAGGAGGTGGAGGAGGAGCCACCGGCGGCGGCGGGAGGTTTTGGCCGGTCGGTGTCGGGGAGGAAGCTAGGGAATCCGTCGGATTGCGGCGAGAGTCGGAAGGAGGAGAGAGTGGAGGATCGCGGATGGGAGCTGAGGAAATCGAGGAAGGAGAGCAGCGCCTCCCATGGACGGGGCTCGTTCAGCTTCAGGTTAGGGTTTTCTCATCGGTACGTGGACGCCGAGCAGGTCTCCGCCGGGTGGCCGCCGTGGCTTAGCGCCGCCGCCGGTGAAGCCATTCACGGCTGGGTGCCGCTCAGTTGGCCCCCCCGCCGGTGAAGCCATTCACGGCTGGGTGCCGCTCAGAGCCGATTCGTTTGAGAAGTTGGAAAAGGTACGGACGGGTCGGATGTGAATCTTTCTTCTGTCGTTTTCTAGAAGATTCCTAGATTGATAAGAAGCATTTATGATTTAATGGTCTTTGACGCATTCTATGCTTTCAGACTAATCAACTTTTTTTATCCATTAATTAATTAGTCCAGTTCTTGACTCGGAACTAATTAGTCATATAATAAATAGCTGCGAGAAAAAAAAAAGGTCTTAGCTCATGTACTGCTGGATTATTAGCGATATTAAGATGTTAATTATCATTATCACAAAGAGCGTTAACGAAATAGTAGATAAATTATACAACATTTTGTGAAGAAAAACTAGTGTTTTTTTTTTTTCCCGTTTAATTTAGCAATTACTGTGGATGAAACTATTGATAAAAAATAATAATAATAATTCCTATCTGTTAAGCTTCTTCTGCATTCTTAACAAAACAAATTAAAGGTAGAAAAAATTGATGCTTCATGCAAACCAGGCAACTAAATGTAACGGCAACCGTACTACTCTTGTTAAAAGCATAATTGTTGATAAAGTTCCTTGCGGTGCAAGGATTTCTGACTGGTTTTTGTCCCTCTATTTCTTTTGGTAATGCAAGATTGGGCAAGGCACATACAGTAGTGTGTTCCGAGCTCGCGAAGTAGAAACCGGAAGGTTGGTAGCCCTGAAGAAGGTCCGCTTTGATAATTTTCAGCCAGAAAGTGTTAGATTCATGGCAAGAGAAATATTGATCCTCCGGAGGCTTGACCATCCAAATATCATGAAATTGGAGGGGCTAATCACATCCGGATCATCAAGCAGTATATACCTTGTATTCGATTACATGGAACATGATCTTGCTGGTCTAGTATCTTCTCCTGAGATTAAATTCAGTGAAGCTCAGGTTTAGTTTAATTTGTGTTCTTGGTTTTTTTTTTTTTTTTTCTTTTTCTTTTAACCCAATCAGTCTCTGCTTCATGCAACAGTCTTTAAGTTTGTTTTGTTTCCCTTTTGTATAGGTTAAGTGTTATATGAGGCAGCTACTATCTGCAATTGAGCATTGCCATTTAAGAGGTATAATGCATAGAGACATTAAAGTATCCAATATTTTGGTAAATGACGAAGGAATTCTCAAATTGGGAGATTTCGGGTTGGCAAACATCGTCAACTCAAAGAACAAGCAGTCACTAACCAGCCGTGTTGTAACTTTATGGTATCGTCCTCCTGAGCTTTTGATGGGTTCAACGAGCTATGGAGTGTCTGTGGATCTCTGGAGCGTGGGTTGCGTATTTGCAGAACTTTTTCTAAAGAAGCCCGTTCTTAAAGGAAGAACTGAGGTGCGCTCATATGTTTATGTGTGCTTATTTACATTTTGTTGGTTTTCACTTTTCAGTTATAAATTGGAAGTTGAAGTTTGATGTCGAATTCTCTCCATTTATAGGTTGAACAATTGCACAAAATCTTCAAGCTCTGTGGTTCTCCATCCGAAGAATACTGGAAAAAGTCTAAGCTTCCTCACGCGACCATGTTCAAACCACAACATCCTTATGAAAGTTCTCTAAGGGAAAGGTGTAAAGACGTTCCAGCAACTGCACTTGACCTGATTGAAACCTTTCTTTCTGTAGAACCTTACCAGCGTGGAACCGCCTCTTCTGCCCTTATTTCTCAGGTATCCCTCTTTGATATGTTCTATGCGGCGTGTGCTAATTTACCATTTGAAACTCATTGATTTCACCTCCGTTTTTATTTCTCTTTGTTGATCAAATACACATTTCATATTTCTGTTTCCAGTACTTTAGAACCCCTCCTTTAGCATGTGATCCTTCAACGCTGCCAAAGTATCCACCAAACAAGGAAATTGATGCTAAAAATCGGGAGGACGTGCTAAGGTATTTTTCTATTTTTATTTTTTTGTTCCTCATTTGTGAAACTATGGTTGTGGTTCAGATATGTATCACAGGACTGCTGGTTTTTATTTGTTGTCCTCTTAATATTCAGTAATTGGCTTGAAGCTATTAGTTATAGTTTTAACTTTTAACACGTATTTTCTATTTTGGTATATGTTGCATTATTAAGCACTATGTTTGTACTTAAAAAAACAGGAGAAAGCCTGGCATTAGACATACCGGAGCATCAAGAAAACCAAGGAAATCTCGCAAAACCTTGCAACAACAAAACTTGATCAGTAAATTAGCACAAAAAGAGGTAATTTCTTTATCTTGCTCGCTCCCACTCTCACTCACAATTGTAGAAGCAAGCTGGATTACATTGAATGGCTTGTCTTTGTATTCAGGAAGCGCAAGAGAACGCGCAAATTGGTCGGAGAAACAATGTCACTAACAACGATGCACAAATTATCAAGGATAAAGGAGGTCATCTTCGTAGAGACTCGTTTAAACCATCATTCGATACAGTGTCGGAAACTTACCAGATGTTGAGCACACAACAAGGGGACAGTGCGTTCTCAGGGCCAATACCAGTCTCGGCATCAAGTGGCTTTGCATGGGCGGCTGTAAGGCGAAAAGATGATGTCGCATCCGCGATATCAGATGGCTCCAAAAGTCAGTTCAGTGCCTTGGATCCGTCGTTTGCAAAGTCCACATATGGCTTACCGAAATTGGCAAATCAAGACCATGTTTTGCAGAGAGTTGATTCCAAGCGTGAGATGCGTAAGCAGCAGAGGAACCTTAGTAATCCGCCGGATTCTTTTGACTCATCCGATTTATATTCTCAGGATATATCACGATTGGCCGTTTTGGCAAAAAGCATGGTAGTTTATAATACAAACCCATTTATTGTTTTAAATTACTGTAAGCATTATTGGTGTTAAAAACTCATTTCCCATTTGATGAATCGTGTTATAGGATTACGAGGATGATGAAAACCATATTGAGTTCTCAGGACCTCTATTGTTACGACCGCATAGAATGGACGAACTCCTGCACAGGAATGAGAATCAGATACGTCTGGCAAATCGCAAATCAAGGTTTGAAAGAGGTAAAATAATGGAAACCTGATTCTGCTAGTTTGCGCAAATTCTATTCTTGTTTCAGAATTTAGCTGTGTATAATTGATGCCCACCACTGTCCTTAGTAAGATTTTTATTATTATTATTATTATTATTATTATTTTGGGGTGCAGAGAAATGATGCAGAGGAACTACTACCGAATGATTTGGTCCCTTGGCACCCAACTCAACGAAAGTGTAAATACTTGTGGGTCGAGAGTGGGGAATTTCATAGACAATATTTGACCCAACTAGTGTGTGCTCAGATGGCTGTGCGGGCTTTTCTTAACGTCCTCTGCTTGCAATCCTTAGCCTTTGGTTTTTTTATTTTTTTGGCCGAACAAATACCAATGTATCACCACAATTGTATTACACAAAGAAAGCAAAAGTTCATACATTACAGAGAATGTACACGCATTGGATTAATCAATTTCAAAGGAGAGTTTTTCTATGAGCTCCTTAACTTCTCTTATTCTTTACCTTAGAAAATAACCCGCCAATTTAGTTCATAATTGACATAATCCGACTCTGTAGCAGCCAAATGGCTCACTAGTATCTTTCCGGTTTGAATTGCAATTCAAATATTTTTGGCACAGCGTTTTCTGATAAAGTAAAACTTCTATTCAAATTTTTTACGCATTGAACTCATTTTAAAATAACTTTTTTTATATAAAAATAAAAACGTATTTAATATTAGACAGAAATTATTTTTAGAGAAAAAAATAAAATTAAAAAATTAAAAAATATTTTTTATTTATTTTATTTTATATTAAATTAAAAAATTATTTTTATTTTTGTTTTTTGTCTTCTATTTTTAAAACGTTTTTATTTTGTTTTCTTAAAAAATGTAAAAAATAAAACAGATCAATTTTAAACACAAGTTGTTAACTTATAGCAGTTTGGGTTCTTAAGCCTCTTTTAAAAGTAAATTAGTTCCTAATTTTATTGGCAATTCTAATTCTTATTGACTCCATTACATGGCTAGTTCAATAATATAGATACAGTTTTTAAGAAAATTTCAATTGTTTCGAAAATACAAATATCAGGATATCACGTTAAAAGTTTATTCTGCTACCTGTTAAATAAATAAATAAATAAATAAATAAAACACAGGACCAAGTTCAAAATCTGTAAAAACTGTGCAGTACCAAAAACTAAAGGTAAAAGTCTATGGAAGCTGTAGCAAAACTTTTAAAATTTAATTTTTTCTGCAAGAAAATATATTGTTTAAACCAAAAAAACCAGAGTGGTTTGACTTTGAACTCATTCTCCAGACACCCTGTTCAACCAGACCCAAACAGATCACAACCTGTTTCACCAGACAAAAACAGATCGTATCCAATTGCGATCTGGGCGGGGAAATGTATCAACAAAAACCAGCTTCCCCAGAAAAGGCAAAAAAAAAAAAAAAAAAGATAAAATTGAATATTTCAAGAGTAGAGGACGAAAAATCGAAGCTTTTGAAAAGGAAAAAAAAAAAAGAAAAAACAAAGAAAGAAAAAGGAAAAGTCTTGTAGGGCAAAACTCCTCGCTCAAGCTGCAAAAACTAGGGCAGCAAAGCGGCCAAGTAGCCCCCAACAAAGAAGTTGCTAATGTGCGCCCAACGCACTAACGTGCGCCACGAATTGTAATTGTAACCTCTCTCGTGGAATACCACGCCACCTCTTCCTCAAGAGGGAAGCGCTCGGCCTCGGACGCTTTCTTTTCCCCATTTTCTTCTTTCCTTTATATACCTCCACATTGCATACACGGTAAACCCTATCCTTTTCCCCATTTTGCCCTCAGTTTCCGAAAATATTACGAGTACGGGATATGTGTTGTCCTCCATGATTAAAAGGCTTTTTGTATGTCGTTTACTTAAACTGAATAAGAAACGACTTTCTGGCGTTCGACACTGGAAACTTTGTCGTACTCGTACTCGCCTTTAACGTGGAAAATTCCTCGTTGGCTTCATTTTGTCGTTTTGCGTTTGTTTGACCTTTAAGTGAAAAACGACACATCGTCTGTTGACTAAGTTTTGAGTTTCCTGCCGTGTAGCTCAAAAGGCGTCGTGTTGTCTGTTGAGTAAGTTTGTTTTGTCGTTTTTCAACCAAAAGAAACGTTTGTTGTCGTTTTTATCTTAACGAGACATTTCTGTCCCTAAAGTCATTGTCGTTTCTTTAATATGAACGTCATGTCGTAAAATCTATCTGGTCTTGCTGTAGAACCGGAAAAAAAAAAAAAAACGTTATTCAACTTCTACTGCAAGAGAAAACGACATTGTCTTTATTCTGACCAGCTGATAAACAGATTCAAACTTTAGAAAGCTACTATCACAGACTTTTTAACAAGGAATTTATTTATTTTCTTTTGATGTACAAAAGGCTGGAATGGGTGGCAGTTGAATGTTTACAGTCTTGGTTCTTCCCAATTAATGGGGTGTCCTGAGCTCTGCATCTCAACATCCTCATCAATCATCATCGAGGGTCACTAGTGTGGGTATTCTGCTATGATCTTGATCTACAAAATCAATCTTGCTCAACCTCACACAACACAGCATTTTCTCCGGCAGTTCTTCGGGCTTTTGTGCCTGTTTAACATTATAATTAATGAGGGTTAGTTTGAACGAAATTAGTGCTTAAAGAACCTTGCACAATTTGACTTAGAAAACCGGGTTCTGTTTTGGATTTGGTGTCGTCATTCCTTAAAATATAAGCATTCTGACAGTTGGGCCTTTAAATTTCTTTTTTTGTTCCTTAATGATAAAAAAAACAACACATATTTGTAAAATTTAGTAAAGATAATCACATGTCTATCACATTGATAACTCAAAATTTTACAGAGAAAAGAAAAAAAAAATATCACATAAAAAGCACGACACTTCAAAGCCAATGGAAATACTAATTGGAACAATTTCCAAATATAACTTGAATTTTTTTGTGAAATTTCAAGTTTTTACACGATAAACAAGCCATTGCCTTCATTAAGTTTCCAAAATTTGTCATCAAGTCTGTTACGAGGGTTCAAACTTGCTTAAAAAAAAAAAAAAACAGATTCAGGGACCACTAGGCGAAATCTTAAAAAGTTAAGGCACCCAAAAGTCCTTAAATTTTTCTGTTTGTTACCATTTCTACTATACAATAACAACTCAACTTCTCTATTGTTGTCTAACTTGTCTTTTTTGTATAACACCAGATTACTAAAAATACAAGGTAGAAATTGAATATCATTGCATATAAAATGTTTTCTATATTACCTGAATTGTTAGTCCTAGATCCAGTATTCCGTTTTTCAAACGTTCTCTGAAGGATTCAAGTCCCTTCCTTGCTATGTAACTGAAACGGTGAATGTCCAAATCAATCTCAAAGTAATTAGAACCCTGCATGTGATAGACAAAATACTCAAAGTCAGTTCTGCATGTAAAAATGCTGAATCAATCAAGGATGTATACGTTTAGACAGGCAACTAAGAAATTTTCTTAGCATTGCAAAGATGATTGGAGTTGGAAGCATGATATGTTAGGAATTAAACGCCCTAATTCCTAGTATCCGAGAGCAGTACGAAAATGAGAAGAACAAAAATAAACAGAGATTTCATAGTGGTTCACTTTCAATGTGAGAGTTGCATCCCTGTGCCACAGCAAATCTTTAATATAATTGGTAGAAGAAGTGCAAATCACAATTTAGCCCTCTTTCAGTCTTCTGTTTTCTCACCAGAAACAACTACCCAGAAGTCCATAAAGAAAGCTAAACCAAGTCTTCAAGAATTCATAAAGAAAGCTAAACCATTGGCATTAATGAAAAGAGTATATGAGTGGCTTGATTAAAACCAGTAATTGCTATTATATGTCCAACTAATCAAGTGGCGATCAAGTCTGTCATATAAATCCAAGGTTACATAGCATGATCTCAACGTGCCCGCCAAACCAAATGTTGATATATAATTTTACCAAGGCCAACATCCAAGTAAAAAGCAAAAATGTGCTATACGTTACCTTATAAAAATTATGCTGAGGGCGTGAAAGGACTGGCTTTTCATTATAAGCGTTTATAAGCTTCTTCTCAGTAGAACTCAGCTGAAGGTCCTCAGGATTGACCAACCCAGCTACGATCTTCAGCCTTTCTCTAAAAGGGACGGTGGATTCTTTTGCAAATCCTTTGACCTTTTCCATCTCATCTTCAATCAATTTCTGCAGCATTAATAACTTTCTTTAGTAAATTCTAATCCACACGGATGGTAAAATTCACTAGTCCTCAGTGCCAATAGGAAAAGGCGAACCACGAGAGATAAAATATATATAAGGAGGGGAAAACGAAAGTTACCTTGATGTTATCCTGACATTGCGGAGAGATGTCTTTGTCAAAAGTGTCAGAGACTTTGAAATACAATACAAGACTCATCCCTTCTCCATCACTATCACCAAGGAACATCGCAGCGGGATAAGTGGGCAACTGCAAGTAGGTACAGAGCAAAGATTGCAAGATACAACATTAGAAACTGTTTTGAGGAGCAAATCATTCCGTATCATAAGTCCATGAAGTAACGGAGACAAACTTGAAGAAATAGAAATGATGCAAGTAGTTCCTAGAAAAGCACCTGGATATTCACAATGAGGAGGGGAGGTACTACTCCATCAGCTATTACATTTGGAAGCTCAAGGTGTTGAGCAATATGATCAATCTTTTTGGGACAGACAAACAAATCAACACCAATTGGAGTATATGGGCAGTAATTTGGAGCAGGCGACTTCTTCTTATCTCTGAGTAGTAGATTAAATGGCATTACATTCTTAGTAAAGAAAGGCGGGGAAAGGAATAATAAAATTAGAGTAATTACTTGCAGTTATCTACATATCTTCAATCATGAATAGAAGAAAAACCAACAACATACTTGAAATAGTTCTCGCCGCGGAGTTTAAAGGTTGAGGGTGGAATCTCGGACCAACATCCTGGGGTTAGCTTCTCTCCTGTACAGCATGGAATAATATGTCCTGCTCTTGGCCGATACAGATACCTTTTTGATTGACCTGCATATGCACGATCAATACTTGAACAAATCTATGGAAAAAAATCACAAAATTCAAATGACATAATAGAAACACTAAAGAGCAATTTAGTTTGGTGATAAACAGAAAGCCAAAAGTTAGATTTCAACCTTAGTAAACTGTTCGGTTACTTACATTGTTCAACGGCTTCTTCTCTTTCACAGGACCTCCTCTTGAAAGAAAGCCTGAAAACTGCTGAAGGTTTTTTCTGTGGCTGTGGACCCATACTTGACGGATGTAGAAGCTTCTCATTGAAGCTTACAGCGGGTAATAATTTAGTTAAACTAGACTTCCTGCTAGTTTTCTCTTCAGAATCATGTCTCTCCTCTTTGAAACCTTTGAAGCTTCCAAGAGAATGGTCTAAAATCTTCTTCCTCTTGCTGCATACTTCATCAGTCTTCCCTAAGCAAGAAAATCAAACCCCCAGAGCACCAATAAGGGAAAATTCATTTCATGCTTTCATCTTTGACCAAAAAAAAAAAAAAAAACCCTGATTTACCTCCATCTATTTTCACAAAGCTCTGATATTCTTCATATTTGCACTTGTTATCGACAAAACACGCTGATCTTTCATATTGAACCACTTGACCTGATGAGATATTTCCAATTGCACTACCTACTAATGGGAAAACATCTGCAGAGCGAAGAAGAAACAAAATCAAAACAAAAGGCAAGTTGAGAAACCTAATATTGGGAACAAAGGAATTTTTCTTGCGATTGCACCAAAAAGATTTATGTAAATATTTGATTAGTATAATTCTATTTTCATGTAATATTACACAGATCCCTAGTTGACGAGATAAGTTATTGTTGTTTACCTCCATGTACACTACTAAAGTCATCATCCGAGTCAGACTCCAAAATGCTGACCGAGTCAAACCAAGCTTCCTCTTGGCAAACGACTACAAACAACAAAATCGTAAAAGTAAAATTAGGTTAAACTTTCTACAAGTTGACACTTAAGAAACTCTTTAGTTAAAAACTATTTTCAGTAGATTATATAAATGTCTCATTTATTTTATCAATTTAAATTTTTAATTTTAGATTTTTATAGTTAAAAACTTTCAGAAAATATCACATTTAATTTTTTCTGTTACAGTTAAAAACTTTCAAAAAACGTAACATTTCAACTCGAATTGAAAACTTGAATCCACAAAATGAATGAGACCAAAATATATTATCAGTTAATAAAACTTATGGGACAATATAGTCATCACAAGTATAAATAAAATAAATTATAGGATTAAGACGTGAGTGTGGAAATCAAAAAATCAAGTAGAACTTTTCTTTCTAACGCTCTCTTGGGACCAAGGCCAAACCATATTAGGAAACATATTATAATCCATAAAAAGTGCAAAATAAATGACAAAATAACATGATTAATTCACGGGATCATCCAAATGATTATGAGATTGTTTGTTCTTTGTGAAAATGGCTATGAAAGACACCATTGAAAATGGACGGCTCTAAAGAAATGACACACACCATTAGTGTCACATTGACTGCGGTGCCATTGCAACTGAGTGAGATGGAATGTTGCGTTTGAAACCTCGGATCTTCTGCAAGTAGTAGCCCCACCCTTCCCAAAGTCCATGTGAACAAACTCACTCACAGCATAATCTGTTAAACAAGCTCCTGTATCACTGTTTCTTTTCTTGGTACCATCAGAGACCGAGCGGGTAATCTTTCCGCAGCGTTTGATGAAATGGTGACTGCGCTTTCTTCTCGATTTTATTTTTTGCGACGGTGTTGAGACACACCCGCCCATTAGTCCTCAATCATACAACTCCTAAGATGACAAAAGGACAATATTAATATCTTCAGAAAAAGTGTAATAATTCATGAGAACACAAGTTCTGCTGTGTTTTTTAGGCTCTTTCAATGATTATTGGGATCAATTTTTGCCACATAATTAGGACTTGTGATGTTTAGTCTCAAGTAGAGAATAATAACCCAGTTTTTGACCTGAGAAATAATAGCTAAAAGAAGAGTTGAATTCTTATGATTATAATCATAATGATAAAATTAATTAAGATATAGAACTTAAACTTGGAAATAATGCTAGTGCCTCAAAAATTATAATTAAGATAAACAACCACAAAGGATCAAGAAAGTATAAGAGGAAAAATATTAAACAAAAAATTAAAAACTAAAAAAATCTTAACCTCAAATATTATAAGACGAAAAATATTCAAAGTTTCAGGCCATGTGCTCTTACAAATTTCCAAACTGAGAGATCGAAACAGAGGACTCAAGAAAGCTATATACTGTATTTAATTTAAAAAAAAATTAATTGAAAAATTGGGAGAAAAAAAAAAGTTTGAATAAAAATGCCTCAATGGTCCAAATCCACGAAGGTGCAAGAAGACAAAAACGAAAACGATGCGAGTTCTATACAGAGAGAGAAAACCAAAAAGTGGAGGGAGAGAAGAGAGAGAGGAAAAAAAATCACACAACGGACGAAAATGAGAAAGATGATAAGATACAAGAAAGAATAACAAATATTGAAATATATATCGGCATTAGTAAAAAACATGGAAGTTACAGGTAAAACGTAGACGACAAAGAAAGCTAAAAAAATAATCAGATTCAAATGCTCAAGGAAAGTCCAAGGAAAATTCCATCGCATAAGCTGAAAACGTACACGAAACTGATAGCTTTAAAGATATTACGAGAAAATTTACCAGAAATGAACCTCTTGTGGAACAGATCTCGGAATCGAAGATATCCGTCTGCAACGACGTCAACGACCACCGCTGAAGGCAATCAAAGAGAGAGAAGAAGAAGAAGAAGAAAGCTTTGCGTTTAACAATGGCGGAAGGTGGGTCCGACAAATTCGGATCCGGGTAAGAATGTCAGAGCCAGTGCTCTCTCGCTCCTCCTCCTCTCTTATTATTCTCTTATATAATTATATATTTAGAGAGAGAGAGAGAGAGAGAGAGAGGAATGGTCTCTTAATCCTAATGGTTGTTTGTTGGTGTTGTTATGGCCCTTTCTCCCTCGCTTTTTTCTTTTCTTTTTCCTTTTTTTTTCTTTTGGTCCGAGTTTTCGCTGGCGAAGAAAATCCTATCTCTCTCTTCCGGGATGAGAGAGAAACAGAGAGGGACAGACAAGAAGAGAGGGGGAAAAAGCGCGCGGCGCGGGGGTTTAGGACTTTAGGTTGTCCACGTCTTTCTTTCGTCAATTTCCTCCTTCCTTCTTATTAAATAAAAAAAAATCCTCCTTCCAAACTGAATTTTTATTTGGGTAATTAAAAATAATTGTTTCGGTAATATCCATACCGTTAGTCCCTGAATTGTTTGGTGATAACTGATAACACTTATTTTTTCTGATAACACATACTTTTTACACTTTTATTGCCACAACAAGGGCGTTTTTTAAAAAGAAAAATTGCATTTTGTTAATATATTAATAAACAATTTTTTTGATACAATACAAATCCATTAGAGGAATAAACGTACGACTGAGGTCTGAAACTGAAAAAGCATCTTGGCACACTAACAACGAGTGGACTGAAAGTTCAACTGAAAAAACTCATCTTCAACATAAGCTGTCGAACGTTGGAAGGGCAAATCGTTCAAACTCACAAAAAAGGGAACATCTACACGGTATAGAAAAAATTCTAGCCGGACTAAGACGCCACCGGTAGAAACCTCTGGTGAAGGGCGTCTGACCAAAGGACCGTCAAGGAAGATAGTCAGCGAAAAGATCTTAGCCACTAAGTGGAAAACTTTCCTGAGAAAGGAGACCACTCATTCAGCTTTCAAGCTCTTAACTGGTTCATATCTGCCTAAATAGAGCCACTACACCATACACCGCCACTATTAATGAGAAGCTCACAACGAGACGAGTCGAATGACCAAATTTCACAGTCGGGAATCCGGCGACACGCGTGGAGCTCTAGCCAACGTATACTCTCTAAGGACCTTCTCACTCTCTCTAACTCTCTCTCTTGAAAAACTAATCCTATTAATACTGTGTATTTTGTGCTTTTTTTTAGAAACCTATATTGTGTATTTGTATGTATAAAAAATGTGGGATAGTACACAAAGAGTGTGTTTTTTACATTCAAATATTAAATTTATAATTAATAAATTAATTATATCATTACATTAGAGCTATTCTAATTAATGAGCAGATCTCTGTAAAAAAAAAGAACTTTTAATTATGGATAAAAATTTATATTTATAACTATGTGTTGCACTTTTCCCTTTGGTTTTTTCCCTACTATGTTTTAAAATTTTCTCTGTTATGGTTAATTACAATGTAGTAAATCATTTTAGCTTCTTTTTTTCTACTATATACTTGGTATTTGCATGGAGTCCATGATGGTCTTATATAGCAAATTGATTAGAAGTCTATAATTGCAATAAAAGCGGGTATTTGCCTAATTTTAGAAATCAATTATGGAAAAAAGGACTTTAATCTAAAATAGAATATGAACATTGAAGGAGCTTGCCCAAAAAAACAAAATCAAAGGAAAAAAAAGAGATTGAAAGCATTTCTGATCAAATAACTGTCTAATTGATTCTTTCCACTTTGCAGTGTCATTTTTTTCCATTTCAACTACCATTTTTACAAAGATATAAATTAGAGGTCCTTTTGGTTTATAAATTTGAATAAAAAAATTTAAATTTTATGAGAAAAAACACTGTAATAAAAAAATTTAAATAATAGTTTGAATTTATAAAACAAACACATCACACCATTGCTCTTTACTCTTCTTCATCTTTCCTTTTTTTTTTTCTTCAAAAATACCTCTAAATTCCTGTGAACATGTTTGTTGATGAAATTTTGAAAATTAAAAAGGAAAAAAAAAAAAGACGCCATCGGGGATCATGCACCGTGCACAATAATCGAACGATCATAAACTTAATAGTTGACTCTTATTATATGCACCAAGTCAACTCTACCATTGAAATTTGTCAATCCCAGTCACACATCCCGGTCTAATATCCAATATCTTCCAGATTAAAAATTCCCATGAATATTTAAAAGGGAAAAAAATGAAGAAAAATTGTCCTTGATTTTTAATATATTAAACTTAAATCACCACAAGCCTCTTTTGAAGTGCCAGACTGGATTTCAATAATCAATGATATATCCCCTCAAACAAAAATTAATAATGATAATAATGATAATAAAAGGTGTTTAATTGCTCTTTATTTTCATGTCTGCCAGTAAATGGAACTTGGTCACATGATTACACATGTAACATATTATGCATTTAAATGACAATTGGACATGGCCAAAACCACATATTATGCATTTAAATGACAATGAAATACAGCTTATTACAGCCTCATATGTTTCTCTCTTTCTATTTTGTCCCCCCCCCCCTTTTTTTTCTAACATCCTAATATTTTTTCTCCTCAATTAAAAGAAAAAAAAAAGGCAAAATGCAAAGCACAATTCAAATTATATATATACATATATATATATGTATATGTATATTTGGCAGTTCCATGCTAAAGCATGAAGAAAATACTCCAACCGTGGAGTATAATTTTTTTAGCTGTCAAATTAAACTGAGGTATTGTTTTTAACTGCCAACTGATTAAACTAAAATCATATTAAACTAAATAAAATATGAAAATTTAAGCAAATTTAACAAAATTATGACTTTTAACAATTATGTCCTACCCATAGAATACTTCTTCAAATATTCTTAAAAAGAATTCTCTATTTTTTCTTTTTTTCCCTAAATATCAACTTTCATATAATTCAATTCAATGCGCGCATGCCCATCTATAGTAAAATGTACACAACTGAATAGTTTTGTTTTGGCACTTTCTCGTTATCTCAAACTTTTTCTTATTATTAATCAAACATCGTGTACTATGGCAACGTGTCAAGATCCAATTGGCTATCCAGATGTACGTTTGAATCGTATTGACAATTAAAGGAAATCGTGAGCGAATTGGATAATGCCTGTAAGGGTTATCCTAAAGAAACTCAAATGTTCGTGAAAAATATCAGATGGATCTCACGTGAATCTCGAGCTTAGGCCTCTCATCCAATGTGGATCTGACACGTGGCTCAGTTAGGAGGCCCTATAAAACTAACCTGTGGTTTGTTTCATAAATTCTAATTATTCTTGGAATCTTTTACTACATTATTTTCTCTTATAAAATCTAATTTTTTGTTTAAATTTTTATGTTCAAGCATATGTACCAAACGACTAACTGAGCTAATAGTTTGAGTTGACCAAATGTTTTTTTTTTCTTTTATAGAATTATCCTTAGGGTAAGTATGTTATTCCAATAAAAGAAATGTTGTTAGGCGAGTAATTTTTATAATAAAAACTTTCTCTCATGAGACTTTTAGATCAATAGAATTAGTTTTTTATTTTTGAATCTTTTTAAAATATTAAAATACATAATAACGTAATATAAATTTAACGGTTAAAAATAATTTTATGATAGTTAACTTTTTTCTTAAAAAAAATTAACATTTACGTTATTTTCTTTGTATTTATAAGTCTGTCTTTTTTTTTTTTTTTTTTTTTTTTTTTTTATCTTTGCAGTTTTCCATCATTGGAAGCCGGCAACAAAGAGGCGGAAAAAAAAGGACAAAACTGCAAATACCTTTTCACTGTATGTGGCGGACTTCATGAGTTGTTCCTCATCCTGATGTTTGGTGACTAGAAAGGTTGATGCATTGTACGTGAGGTCCTGCGGAAAGTGAAATGTTTGTTTGTCTTTATACTTCTGTTTAAATGGTACCAGTCAGGACGCTACTGTTTTGTCTACTAAAGCATTTTTTAATTCTCTCCGTGATGTTTTCAGAACATTTTATGGTCCTATTAATATTAATTTAAATTTTGTTATAATAAAAAAATTTTATAAATAGTCACATTTAATTATTTTATTATAATAAAAAATTTTCATATAAAATCGCATTTTAATTTAAATTAAAAATTTAAATTAATGAACTAAATGAGTCATGTGTTTCTAACATTAAAATGGAACAAATATATTTACAAAATTCTCACACTACATTTACAGTGAAATTCTCAGAGAAAATTATGTATATTGTATATATAGATATACGAGAACATTCTTCTGAGGATGTTTACTCTTTTTTTTAGAGTTTTTTTTTTATAAGATCATAAAAAATGAATTACTGGTAGTTTTTTATTTTTAGCATATGTATCAAAAATTGTCTCTATTTCACATATATTTTTTATATGATGTGATTTTTATTATTTTGAGAAAGTAATAATTTTGTGTTTTTAGATAAGTTATTGTTTTTAATTTTTTAGACAAGGGTTATTTTATGGCTTATTAAGAGTTTATATATAAGTAGTTTGTGTAAAATTTTATGTGTGTTCAGAGAAAAATGTTTTAAGAAAAAAGTGTAAAAAAAGAGTTGTCTCATTTTGAGAGAGAGAGAGAGGAAAGTGAGGAGAAAGATAGGTAAGAGTGTAAGAGGTTTTTAGTAGAGAGAGAAAGTGAGAAAGTGTGTTGAGTTTATAATTTTAAAACTGTCAGTAAATTTTTTTTCTCCCTCTCCAATAGTTGTAGGAAATTTTTCTGAACTACCTAAATATGTCTTATTTATTTTTCTATTATTTTTATTTCAATTTAATTTTTCATTGTGTGAATATAAAGGTATGTTTTTCTTTAATAATTTTAACTTAATTCAATAGTAAAAAACTCACACTAATCAGACCGTGCAGATAAACATTCTTTTTTTTTTTATCATGTATTAACTCGTGAAAATATAAGATATTATCTGAGTCATTTTCTCACGTACCCATGATTATCTGTTTCTCACGTACATAAATCGATCGGTTGATCTCACAAAACTCCCATCTGGCGGTTATTTGTTATTATTATTACTATTTTTTTTTTTTTTTGCATGTGCAGTATATCTGAAAAAGAAAACTTCCAAATTGGTGAAAAATGTTGTGACTTTTATGTTGAAAATAATTATATCAAGATTGAATACTTTTGGTGACTGTACAATTGGCATCAATTATTTTGAAGATCTTTTACGACCGTGAAGTAAAAAAAGGGACATTGTGCTAGGGTCATGCAATTAAGTGGCATCTTTGACATTCTTGACCACATAAATACATAAAAAGTAAGCTATTTGCCCTCATTACAATGTTGATATTAAATTACATTGTTCGTTTTTTTTTTCTTCATCAGAGATTCTCCACGTTTTAAATAGATAAGTAGAGCATTAATCTTTCTTTTAATTATCAATTAAAGAGCTCCTAAATCCAAAAATTTGGCCCTTCTAATACTTTTACAGTCCTAGTTTCTTTCTATAATGACCTCCAATATCCATTGAAAGGAACAAGCAATACAAAAGGAAAAAGATGCTCCATTTGGCCGTTTTGTTGTTGTCTACATTTTTATGAGTATCATGTCATGTCACTTCTTATGAAAGATTTTGTACAAAAGCTACAAAACTCACACAGAATATACCAATTAGTCCTTTTAAACTATAATCCCGTTCATTTTACTGGTTTGAATTTAAAATTTGAGTTTTGTTACAATAAAAAGCTCTCAGAAACAATCACATATAACTTTTTTACTATAATAAAAAGCCCTCACATAAAGTCACATTTCAACTCAAATTAAAAACTCGAATCAACGAACTAAATGGGCCATATATATATACACACACCATGTTATAGAGAAATTAGGGGCTTATGTGGCAGGAAATACTTGTTAATAATAGACATTATGATGTTAGACTAAATCATAATAACATAAAAGCCGAAAAGTATACAAATTTAAGGAAATATATGGCGAACTCTAAAGAAGCAAAAACATAGACAACGCGTGAAACACTTTTTCATGCAAAAACATTGGCAAGACGTGTGAAACACTTTTTCATATGTTACTATATTACTGAAAAACATTAATGGTTAGTTTGTTTATAGTACTTATATAAACAAAAATATTTCATGGATAGCATGCTGATTTTGTTTCTTTTTTTTTGTTTTGTTTTTGTTCTGTTTTTATTTTTTGTTTTTTTATTTTTAGTTTTTTGTCACCGCTATGTAAGTAGTATGCATGATAATGACCTGAAAAAAGAGCTCATAAATGATAAATAAAACATTTGGGGGGCACAACTAGTATTTATCACCAGAAGTAATAGAAAACGGTCCCATGTGTGGTTCTCGCGTTGTTGTGATTTAGTTTCTATTAGTTTATGGTGTTGAACAAACTCATTCTTTCCCATTATTCGCTAAGAAATAGTGCAAACAGGCGAGAATCTTCCTCCCTTTTCTTTAATGGGATGGGGTTACTTTAAGTGAATAATAATGAATCATCTGCTTTTTATGTTAGGCTTTTTCGACGGCCATCAAACGCTATATATGCTCTACTCCTATCGAACTCTTAAAAAGAGGTGCCTATTTAACAAGGTATGGACCAAATTATAAACCAAAGTAACACCATCAACATCGATAGATGTTTGTATGTTCCCTTTCTGACTCTTTTGTTGCTCTCAAAACGTAGGCCTCGTTCAGTTTGCTGATTCGAATTTTTAATATGAGCTGAGATGTGACTTTATGTGAGAGTTTTTAATTGTAGCAAAAAAGTTAGATGTGATTTTTTTGTGAGAGCTTTTAACTGTAGCAAAACTGAAATTAAAAACTCGAATCGGTAAAATGAACGAGACCGTAAACAACATGGTTGCATAATGGAATCTCTCTTTTGTAATTGATTTGGCTTAGTTCCACACATCAACAATTGCAGCCACTTTCTAGAAAGCAAAATTGTAGTGGTTTCATTGTCTAGCTTTGATCAAGTGTTCCAACACGTGGATCGAAATACTCAAATATTTGCTACTAATTTTCTATAAAAAAAAAAACGAGAAAAATTAAATGGTTACAGATATAGATTAACGGTAATTTTACACGCTTGTCTCCACCACAATTTGTGTAGAGTTCGAATCCTCTCATCTTTAGTTTTAAATTTACCATTCATATGCAATTATATAGGAATTTTCTAATTAATGAATTTCTAAAGTACTAAGAATATCTTAAATCTTATTTAAGATAGACAATGCATGTGAAAAGTGGTGAACCGACAGAGGACATTGATGCATGCATGTCAATTATGAACTTGGTATTGCTAATCCTATTGGACTCAAGATTGTTTATCTATTTATATGAAAAGTTGGGTATTCAGGAAAGAGCTTGGAAAAAACCATCGGAACAACCGAAGTCATTAAACAATAAAGGAAACAATAATAGCATTAGAAACTAGAAAGTTAAACCTAATTCATGCAATTATTATATGCAAACGACACAAGAAAAAAAAATCCTAAGTAAATCTTAGAAGTGCAAGAAGCGACGATCTGTTCACATGGAATAACGTAGCAAGACATATAGATCATCTCAATTAATTATGGTGCAGAATTATAGAATGTATAACCATTTGTTAATTTGTAATCAATAATTCTTATTTGTATATTATTGGAACTTTAACATTATATAATAATATATGATAGAATGATCGCCTTCTTTCACATGCCTCTTGTATTGTATATACATTTTCTTTTTGTTGGTCCACCTTTTTCTTTAATGGGTTTGTTGAGATATGGCTGAAACTGCACCGAACAAATGCAAGAGTTTTTAATTGTAGCAAAAAAGTTAGATGTGATTTTTTTGTGAGAGCTTTTAACTGTAGCAAAACTGAAATTAAAAACTCGAATCGGTAAAATGAACGAGACCGTAAACAACATGGTTGCATAATGGAATCTCTCTTTTGTAATTGATTTGGCTTAGTTCCACACATCAACAATTGCAGCCACTTTCTAGAAAGCAAAATTGTAGTGGTTTCATTGTCTAGCTTTGATCAAGTGTTCCAACACGTGGATCGAAATACTCAAATATTTGCTACTGATTTTCTATAAAAAACGAGAAAAATTAAATGGTTATAGATATAGACTAACGGTAATTTTACACGCTTGTCTCCACCAGAATTTGTGTAGAGTTCGAATCCTCTCATCTTTAGTTTTAAATTTACCATTCATATGCAATTATATAGGAATTTTCTAATTAATGAATTTCTAAAGTACTAAGAATATCTTAAATATTATTTAAGATAGACAATGCATGTGAAAAGTGGTGAACCGATAGAGGACATTGATGCATGCATGTCAATTATGAACTTGATATTGCTAATCCTATTGGACTCAAGATTGTTTATCTATTTATATGAAAAGTTGGGTATTCAGGAAAGAGCTTGGAAAAAACCATCGGAACAACCGAAGTCATTAAACAATAAAGGAAACAATAATAGCATTAGAAACTAGAAAGTTAAACCTAATTCATGCAATTATTATATGCAAACGACACAAGAAAAAAAAATCCTAAGTAAATCTTAGAAGTGCAAGAAGCGACGATCTGTTCACATGGAATAACGTAGCAAGACATATAGATCATCTCAATTAATTATGGTGCAGAATTATAGAATGTATAACCATTTGTTAATTTGTAATCAATAATTCTTATTTGTATATTATTGGAACTTTAACATTATATAATAATATATGATAGAATGATCGCCTTCTTTCACATGCCTCTTGTATTGTATATACATTTTCTTTTTGTTGGTCCACCTTTTTCTTTAATGGGTTTGTTGAGATATGGCTGAAACTGCACCGAACAAATGCATGGCCCTTTAAGGAAGAAGATATAAAGCTGTGGGTGCTTTCAGGTTCAATGTGATATATATATATATATATATACACACACATAATACGTTAGTTTACCGATTCATCCTAAAAGATTAAGGTATTATGAGGCGGGTCAACAATAATTTTATATTTTAACACTCCCTCTCATGTATAGGTAAATTAATTGACAAGTCTAACACATAAATATTTAAACCTGAGATACCATGTTAATTTATTAATCCATCTCAAAAGCTTAAACTATTAAGAAGTTTACTAACAATAATTTTATACTTTAATTATATATATATATATATTTATATTTATATATTATCTGTATGTTGGTATATACATATGGTGTTTGAATAATGCAAGGCAAAAACATACCTCATTCACATGCCTATGGAAAGAAAAAGGCCAACTTTTCATTCCAAAAGCGAAAAATAAGCTATCTATAGTGGTTGCTTCGAAGCTTCATGTCGGATCTTAAAAGATTCAATCAATTATAACCCGATGATAAATCTAGAGTAAGATTAAGTGAAATTTTCATTTTTTTAAGTTGAGAATTTAAATTAAAAAAATGTAGCAAAAAATTTGAGAATAAAACGGTCTGCCTGAAAATATTTAATAATATTATCTTTGTCGTGAAATAAATTGCATGGATGTGTAATATGTTTCCCTGTCTTACAATTGAGTGATCCAAAATCCCATCCACGTACATCTTTGACTTTCACACTACCCATAATGGCCCACAACCATTTTTCTAAAGAAGCGGACTCAGTGAGGATGTCCCACAATATAATTGGGTTGGGCTAATGCTTCCACTCATGCCAAACTTCGAACACATAGGCCCGCCCAACAAACGCTACCAAATGAACATGAGTAATTTTTACAATGATACCATTAAGGATTTTTAAGTCCCACTTTAACTTATTAAATTTTATCCCTTTGAGTAAGTAATAAGATAGATTATTATCGATAATTTGACAGATGTCATTAGCGGCAGGTCTCCGGTCACCAACAACAGACGTAATTTGATAGATTACTGTCTAAAATTTAACAAATTATTATCTATAATTTAATAGATTATTATCAAAGAGTAGCCTAAAATGGTGGAACTTCATAAAGATGTGTTTAAGAGTCAATTTTTATAATTTTCTCAATGAACATGCTTCGGCTCGTGTTCTTGTTTTTTCAGCTATTTTGAATCTGGTTCAGGCGTTCCCTAATCTTTCCTTTGGTTGGATTTAGAATTTTTGAGCTGGTAAGAGTTGCACAATGGGCCCTTTCTTCAGGGTCTTCTGATTCTTTGGAGGTGCTCAGGCGTTCCCTAATCTTTCCTTTGGTTGGATTTAGAATTTTTGAGCTGCAAAATGGGCCCTTTCTTCAGTGTCTTCTGATTCTTTGGAGGTGGCTCCCTCTGACTCTACCATGATTTGATGAACAATCTACATTCACATGATTGTTCAATACTTGATGGAGTGATGATTGCAGGTTCTCTTCGATAAGGTCTTAAATTCGAGTCAGTTCCAATGTAGTAACTAAAATGCATATGCAATACACTTTATGGAGAACTCACATCCCACATGTATATTTAATGTCTCTTCAAATTTATCTGAATACACCGTTCTCTATTCTTATAACTCGGAAAAAAGAAAAAAGACTACTTCAATAAGTCATCTTTGGTGCAACACTCTACAATATAATGCTGAGTTTGTCTCTCTTATTTACAGTTACTTTTAATCTTATATGAGCTGTTACACATTTACTGTGACTTGGAAAATAACTACTCTTGATTTTCCCTTTCATTTGCTTAGAATAGGGAAGTTAAGAGATTGGTGACTACATGAAAGAAAACCAAACAGAGAGCAAGACAATGATGAATATAGTGGCTTACTTGTGTTTTGAGGAAAATCCATTTGTGTAATTTCAAACAAGCTCAATCTGATTATAAATCCCATTTCCATTCTCTGTTGAAGAATCTGGTGTGCGGCTTTTGATAAAAAAGCAACAAGCAATTGTGTCGAGCACAATTATGATGGAATATAGATAAGCAATCAACAATCCCTCCAAAGCAATGGACAGACTTGGCCTTTGATGAGGTCTTACAAGCCTGAAGCAGAACAAGGCCTCTACAGAAGCAAGGCCCAAATTGGTAAGGAAAGCCCAAAAGATCAGAGCCATTGAATTCTTTCCCTTTCTCAACAAGTAAGCTCTGTATATGGCTTTACAGCCAGAACAATTCTCCATTCCTGCCACAACCAAAGCCAAGTTGCAGAGAAGTATTATGTTGGTCACAAAGGCATAGAGAAAAATTCCACAAACTGTTCGGAAAATGGCGGTGAAGAATCCGAAAGAGCCAAGGGAATGAATGATTATCAAGAGGAGGAAGGTGGAGGTTATGTGGATGGAGATGCAAAGAATTATGTTGAGGAGGTGTGTTAGGAGGAGAGGCCTGTAGAGGGACAAGAAAGAGAGAGAGGTTGCTTGAGAAGATGCTAATTTGTGGCGATTTATTACCGACGCTTTCGCGATGAGAAGAGAGGAGAGAGCAAAGGGTATGACGAAGATTGAGGGAGAAATGAAGGATCGAGAGAAGTGGTCATGGCTCAAAAACAAGCTGAATTTTGACGAGGCAGAAGAGCTGAAAAGGGGCTGCGAGATGAGAACTGAAGACGAGAAGGGAAGCACAAGAAGAACTGGGGTTGTGGTGAAGTAATGAAAATGTTTAAGAAAAGTTGAGACTGATTTCCTCATGATTTTTTCTGTTCTCTCCATTGGATCGGACGGGAATTCTTCCACCATCTTGGGGAGATTTTAATATGTGAATTTGTATGTATGAATTTGGAAACTAGAGAGAGAGACAAATATTGAAATCTTTCACCTAGTTTTCCAAAATTTCAACTACCAAAAACTAAGCACTAAAAACTGCCAAGATACAGGTCTTTCTTTATCGTCAAAGCTTAAATATGCAAGAAGATAAAACAGCACTCTTTTGTAAAAAGGTCATAAGAATTGTACTTCGTTACTTCTCTTGGAGTGACGCAAGCAAAGAAAAGAAAATCTAGTTTTGATGGCCGTGAATATTCCTCCTTGTCAAGTGACTAATCCAAATATATGTGAAAAGTATTTAGTGGGTAATACGTAGATTTCCACGTAGAGTATGATGAATTGATTAAGCTTCAAACTTATCTTGTATAGTTGTATTGGTTCGACGGCGTTCATGCTTTAAAGGAGTAATTATCAAGTAGGGCCCATAAAAGTTTAGAGGATGCACAAAGACCACGTATGTCATTAGGAAGTTTAACAAGTGTTTATGTAAGACATTTTATGAAATATCATCCATGGAAACTCTTCTTCCTTTAATTGTGATAATCTATCCAAATACTTATCTTATGGAAAATCTATTCACTTCTTTAAATATCAAATGTCAGTCTCTATATATTTATTTTGTTTTTTTTTTCCTTGACCTTTCCTCTAAGTAATTACTATTATTTTGGGTTTCAATGCGTTATATATTTTTTCTCAGTTTCTCGCAAAGATTATTTTTCCATTATTATTATTCTTTACGGAAAACAAAATTGTATATATGAATGTTTTTTGAATTTTTAAATTAATTAGTTGCGACTTTTTTTGATATTTTAGGAACACTGGTATTTTATGCTTAGTAGTCGTCGAATTTATATTAAATATGGTCAAAAGTCAAATTAAATTAAAAAATAATACATATTTAACAGCTGCTAAGCAAGGAACACTGGTGTTTCTAAAACACTAAAAAAAAGTCCCTACTAATTAGCTTAAGAATTCAAGGAACATCGATGCTCCTAAAATATAGAAAACACCAGAAAAATTCCCTAATTAGTATAGTCTGATATGAATATGATCTAGATACAATTTTATTTACCTACTTCATAAACAAAAGCTTCTTAGACATATTTTCACAAGTTAGGGAACAATAAAAGAAATGGAGAAGTGCTTCTACTTGATTTCTATTTGAGAGATTTTCTGGTATGCTTGACGTACTGATAGGTTATGTTTTTCTAACCGTTAGATCTGCATACTTTTTAACTTTTATGTTATTTATTTTACGTGATTTTATATAAATCTTACGGATAAAAAACTTGATTTATTGGTATGTTAGCATACCAGAGAAGATCCCTGTTCACTTTTTAGAAGAAAAAGAGAGGGCGTTCTGTTTATAAACGGCGTCGTTTCTATGAAATCTCTACTAGAGGGGGCAACGTGTGCCTATTCCACAACGGCGCCGTTTGTGCGCTTCGTACTTCAGTTCAGCCCCCAGAACTGACCAGCTCACAGGTCATAGCGATAGAGAGCCAACCCAAGAATTCCGTTGTCCCTATTTTCTTGTTTGGGTTCCGAGAAACCGTCAGAGAAAATCAACCTTCTTTGTCTTCTCGATTAATTCAGCGGTTTGGCGCGATTGCAAAGGTGAGATTTCCTTTTTTCTCTTTTCCATTTTCTTTCAATAATCAGAGCAATTGGAAAACTTATTGAGATACGAAACTGATATTTCTCTGATTTATCGGCATCAAAACACCAATTTAGTAAAGATCTAGCTAAAAATGGTTATTTTCTATTTCTCTTTTATGATCGATGCGCAAAATATTTCTCTTCATATGAATATTTTTTTTCCCTTAGTTTGCTACAGAGTTACCAGTTGAGAGAAATCTTAGTTTTGTATAGTTTGAGATTACTTTAACAATTATACTGTTTGAGGATTTTTTTTTCGTTTCTTTACTGTATTTTGTTTTTGCTCTAGTCTAGTTACGATGTCTGCAAAACCAAGTCAAATTTGCTTTCTAAATTTCTGAAAAACAAAAGTGAATTTCGTATTTAAACTTCCATTCTCGGATTTATTTGAATATGCATTGCTCTAACATGTTGTTTTGTGTTACTTTGTTCTTGATCTTGCGCCTTTAGGCTTCTACTTTTATTTACATTATTGTTTTTGCCTTGTACATGTCTGATTCTTGATCTAAATCAGTTTGTTTAAGACTTGACATTCTTGGGCATGGCTACAAGGCGCAATGTTCAATACAGCCGTCTTCGAAATGATGAGGATTATGATGGTAATGCGACGCAATACGACCCTCGGTTTGACTACACGCCGAAATCCTTCGATAGAATCCCCTGGAAATCCCTCGTCCTTGCTCTTTTCCTCCTGTTTCTTGGATTAACCCTTCTCTTCCTTGCGTATTTCATTCTTACTGGTCACATGGGAGGAGAGCGGTCCCAAGGTTATGGCCTCTTAGCTTTGGGGATTCTCACCTTTCTTCCAGGTATGAAAACATTTTTCCTTCTTTTTCTTGGTCAGTTGTGCTATAGATAATGTGGGTTAGTTTGGTATTGTTTTTGGAGTCTCTAAGATCACTGTGTACATCAAATGATGCAAGTTGCGTGTTTGGTAGAGTGCACAAAAATACTTTGTATGCACACTAATGCACCTTTACCGTTATTTTAAGAGGCTAGATTAGTAAAAATTAGTGCTTCTTTCACCCGCAGCAATCCCGAATTATGTAACAGTAACTTATCAAAACGTAACAAGCTATAGATAATGGGTAATCATTCATTATCTCATATGAACGCGGAAATTTTGTGATGGAAGGCTTTTTGAGTAAACTAATCGCTTGAATGGTTAAGCAATAAAACAGCCTCATAAACACCACGATCATATATCTGCTGCAATTATTTCTTTTTGCAACCAGTGATATTGTCACTGTGCCACCGGTTTCCACCACAACCACCAATATCATGATATCACCATATTTGTCTGGCATAATCCCTGTAGAATGTTCTACAACCGCGCTGCTGTGATCTTCGATGAACCAGGATCAATCCATAACTATTTTGGATGGTAGAACTAAAAGGACTTGAATCACCTGTCTAATTTTGGTGTCCAAAATGGTGTCTAACCAACCATATCATGCCATGTGACTTAAAAGGTGCGTTTGGAATTGGTTTTAAAATGATTTTGTTTTCGATAAAAAGTAAAAATAAGATTGTTTTAAAAATCACTCTGGAACCGATTCTGAAATTGCGTTTAGTTGATTTTTTAAGAGATTGTTTTGAGTATAATAAAAAAGTGAAACTGTGTTTATTAATTAATATATTATAATATTATTGATAAGTACTAAAAAATGAAAATAGAAAAGTGAAAATAACTTTCAACTGTTTTCTAATTCTTTCACAAAAACCATTCTCACTGTTTGCGTTTTCAAAATATTTACTAAACAAACGTCATTTCATTTTCATTTTTATTTTTTACTTCTCGAAATATGTGAAAACTGTTTTAAAAAAGGGTTCCAAACGCGCACAAAGAGTTTGAAATGTTCTTTAATTCAAGTTTTCATGCTTGTTCATTGATGTGGTAAAACGTGTTGGTTAGACAGCTGATCTAGAGCCCAAACTAAAGCATCTTGCTCTTGTTTCTTGCGGGCGTGTTTTTCTTGTTGACCCGCGTTTAGCTTTTTCTTTATACGGTGTTAACCAAGCTACTATCAAAGTTTGTGCAAATGGAACACGAAGCTATATTTAATGGCTGAATTTATTTAAGCCGTTCATTTCATACACGTTCCTCAACTTGTGTCTGCAGGCTTTTATGAGACACGGATTGCGTATTATGCCTGGAGAGGTGCCCAAGGATATCGCTTTGCTTCCATTCCTGATTATTAGGAATGTGTTTCTATTGTAAACTCCCTCGTCGTTGTAACTTGTACGTTTGCTTGTTCTCCTGTCCCGTATATACCCATTGTTTTGCTGCTGCTTCTTTCTTTCTTTTTTTGTTTTGGCTCCAAATAATACACAATGTTTTGCTTAGCTTTGCATCAAGATCTTTATGTAGAAACACGTGACATATTTGTAATCCGTTTGCTTAGCTTTAGCCCTCTATACAGGCTCTGAAGTGGGAAATTATGTGGGAGTTTTTACTGAACAGATCACTGATATTGCAATTTGAGAATCTGTGACATGTGATGTTGTTGGTTTATGCAAAGAAACTATTTGTTGATTTGGAAGAAAGCTGTTCTTTCAAAATGAATGCCCTTTATTGTTTAACCGTTTCAAGTAAGAAGACTTTGAACCCAATCATTTTTACAGTATTTTGTACCTAAAATATAATTTTAGGGAGAAAATACTCGTATGTATGCTAAGACCAGGAGACAGGAGTGGCCCAAAGTCCAGGCAAAAACCAGTTTCCTGAGGCGTTATTTTAAGGGACGTTTATTTCATATATATTCGTCCTGATTCTGAATCATGATTCATGGTTCTTTACAGTATTTTCTCTTATAAAAAATATATATAAAACGAGAATGATTTTGAATCATGATTCTGAATATATAAACCAGACTCTATTCCTGTATAGTTGTTACACTTCCGTTCACCAGTTTGTTAAAACCCACATAACTTGCAAAACTTTTGGTTTAAACCCCAAAGTTTCAAAACGACACAATTGAACGCAGAAACCAAATCAGCCCAGAGTTTATGGCTCTGTCTATTTTAAGTTTTGTAAGAAGTGATAGTTTAGTTGTTATACTTTTGTTTTAGACCGATTAATCCTTGAACTTTTTTTGTTTTTGTTATTTGTGCGTGCGTGTTTGTGTGTGTGTGTGTTTTTTTTTTTAAGTGTCTAATTGATGATAAATTTTTGAGATTTAACACTATTCACTTGTTCATTGTGTAAATTCAATTTTTACCAAAAAAAAAAAAAAAGGTCACATGATGAGTAAAATTTTATAATTTTCAAGGATTCTCGAGTCAAGGGGCATTGAAAAGAATATTTAGCACCATATCCATTAAACTCAAACCATCCATCATAGTTTACGGTAAGAGAAACTGTCAAAAATATTAAAGTTAAAGAATTGATCTATACATATTAATAAGTGTAAATAGATACCGATCAATGAACAGTATATTTCAACCGCGTTTTGGTTGAAACGCTCGTTTTTTTTTTTTTTTGGTTTTTTTTTTCTCTTTTTTTTCCCTCTTTTAATTTTATCCAGAAACTTCATTTTTCTTTCGGTTTTTTTACCTTAAACTTATTTATTTCTTCACGTTGGCTCTTTTTTATCTTTTTTTAATAATTTTTCCATTGAAACTTTATTTTTTTGTTAGGTTCTCTTTTGCTCTAAAACATATCTATTTCTTCATTTTAGTCCTTTTTTATTATTTTTTATTTTAGTATATAAATTTTATTTTATTTTTCATTTTGATTCCTTTTATCCTAAAATTTATTTATTTTAATCCTTTTTTGACTCATTTTTTTTTTATTTTTCCCTGAAAATTTATCTTTTTTTTTGTTTTGGTCTATTTGCCCTAAAATTTATTTATTTCTTCATTTCAATCCTTTTCTGATCCCTTTTCACATTTTTGTCTTGGAATTTTTTTTTTCTTTTATCCTAAAACTTATTTGTTCACATTTTGGTCTTTCTTTTACCCCTTTTCATATTTTTGCTGTGAAACTTCCTTTTTCATTGTGGTTCATTTTGCCTTAAAACTTATTTAATTTTATATTTTTTTTCTTGCCCTATTTTTTTTTCCATTTTAGAATTTTATATTCAAATGTCATATGCTTTTAATAATAATACGATAATTAAAATTTAAAACATGAATTACTCCCTACGTGCAAGGCACGTGGAGTTCAACTAGTTTATTTTAAAAAAAAAAAAAAACAATTATGACAATGCTTATAGTTGAACACTAATGAAGTCAATAACCCTGCCAAGATAATGTGTTTTTGTAAAGCATGAGAGAATGGGCAGGACAATCACAAAATGACGAGATTTATATTTTTTTTGAGAAAATAAGTAAACTCACGATTTAAATGTAATGTTTTAAGATTTTTACCTTTTTCTCTTAATTAATACATTTTTTACTAATATAATTCTTTAATTAAAGGGTATTAATCAAGTGTAAAGAGAAAAATTTAAGACCCATACATTTAAAGGGGGTATTTATCTCATTTTCTCAAATTTTTTCCTTTTGTTCCTCTAAAGAGTTTTATATTTCCCTAAGTTTATAGAAAAAAGGGAAAAAAAAGTGCAAGTTGTCTAAATGTTGGGTGAATTTAATTTTCAGATCTTATCGAAACAAATTTCCACAAGTTTACGGGAAAAAAATAAAAAATAAAAAATACAAGTTTCCTAATAATTGTTTATATTTATTTACAACTCACAACTCAAATTCTATTATTATAGCGTTTTTTCTCATAAAAATTTAAATTCAAATTTTTGTCATTTTTTTACACATATACAACTCAACTTCTTAATTTCAGTTGCCAAATAAATATACTTATGCCGACATTAGAAACAATTTCGTTTTGGGAAAGAAATCCTTAGGCCTTGGTTTTTAAGATATTGACAAATATGGCAGAAGCAGGAGGAGTTCGAACCAAGCTCCGTGGTATAGTTGGATTGCGAGAAGAAAATAAATAAAACTCGAAAAACTCGTCCAAAAACATAACTATTAGGATTAACCAAAATGAAAAAAAAAAAAAGACTAATGTTTTGGCGACTTGAACTTTTCTGCTTCAAAGTTTTGAAAGTCATGGACATTTAAATGGAAAACTGACTATACATTGACAAGGCAAATACGAATGAAATGTTAATATGTGATGCTTTATTGTTTTACGTGACAAATTTATACCAATTGCCTCAGTCATTTGTTAATGACTTCTTTTGTTAACTTTCCGTGTTTATTTAAAATCTTTATGTAATTTTTCATTAACTTCATATAACTTTTTTTTTTTAAACAACTTGTCTATTAGAGTTTAAATGATTTTATAGGATGTGAAAAAGGGGTTCTCTGGTGATGAAACAAATATTTACGTTTTTTTTTTTTTTTTTTTTTTAAGAAATAGACCATTTAAAAACATTTGGCCAACTTAAATTAGTTCAGCTAAAAAGTTATGAAAATTTTGGGGATAACCATAAAGATCTGAATGGAAAATATTACGTTAAATTGATTCGGCAAAGGTAGAAAAAGTTCAATAAGACATGCTACATTGTTCTACGTGGCAAATTTTGATTAAATGTAAATTTTTGAATCAATTATCTCATGGAATACACTAATTAATTCTTTCGCAAGTTTGTTTGTTAATTTTCTAAAATTACCTGTAATATATTGCGTAAACTATCATTAACTTTTCAAAAAATTTCATTTTGTTTAGTTTCTATACTTGTTTAAACTTCTTAGATAAATTTTTTCGTTCATCGATTAAATTTCTATAATTTTTCGTAATTTTATAAATCAATTATCTCATTGAACAGCGTATGCTTCACTAATTAATTGTTTCGCAAGTTCAACCAAAAAAAAAATAATTCTTTCACAAACTTTATGTTAATTTTCTAAAATTAACTTTAATTTATTGCATAATCTATCAATTATCATTAGCTTTTTTTTTGAAAATTTTCATTATGTTTAGTTTCTTTACATGTTTAAACATCTTATAGAAAGTTTTCGTTGGTCGATTATTATTATTATTTTTGTAATTTTGGGACTAATTATAAATATCTAAATGGAAAAATATTATGGTAATTTAATTTGGAAAAGATAGAAATATTACAATATTAAATGTTATATTGTTCTACATGACAAATTTCAATTGAATATTAATAGCTGAATTGGTGTTTCAGTTTGTCTTATTAAATAACTTATTCTCCGGTACTTTAATTCTTTACGCAACTTTCCGTTACCGCGCAATCTTTCATCACCTTTTGTAATTTTTTAAATGTTTGTTCATTTTATCGATTTAAATTTTTAATTTTAAATTTTTACAGTAAAATTTTTTTAAAAAATATCACATTTTTTTTATTATAATAAAAAATTTTTTTAATTTTAAATTTTTACAGTAAAAATTTTTTAAAAAATATCACATTTTTTTTATTATAATAAAAAATTCTCATAAAATGTCATTTTAATTTAAATTAAAAACTTAAATCTACGAAGTGAATGAGACCTAAATTCGCTAAATAAATTTTCCGTTATTCAGTTGACATTCCATAGTTTTCACAGCTCTTTACCTAATTTAATTTGAAAAAGATAGAAATATTACAATAAACAATGCTATATTGTTCTTCGTGGCATATTTCAATTGAATATTAATAGTTGAATCAGCATTTCAGTTTGTCATCGTTAATGGTGCGCATCAGTTTTGGAATTCAGCATATTTTTCCCCTCCAATACAAAATCTCCAACGCGAATGAAGCTGTCCCTGGCGTGGAATTTCTTATCCTCAGTTATAAAATTACAAAAATAGTACAAAAAGAAAATACAATATCAGAAAAAGGAAACTAGATCCTTTCTCAAAAACAAAAAAAAAAAAGAAAAAGAAAAAAGAAATTAGAAGGATGCAATAACAATATGAGGACGTTGTGTTCGAAGATGGATTAATTTTACAGATGCCTTTTCGTCTAATTTCGTCTATGAACTTAACAGAAATGCTCACTTGGCACTAATATTAAAATATCAAAGCATAATTATGAACAAAATATTCAAAAAACAATTAATTTAAAAAAAAAAAAACTTAACATTTTCTAAAAAAAAAAAAAAAAAAAAAAAAAAAAAAAAAAAAAGCAAATACTTTTAGCTGCTCTCATCACCGAACCAAGCATTGCTTTTAAATTTCTATGTTCTATTTTCACCAAGAATCTAATAACACAATCCATGTTTTTCTTTCAGCTTCAATCAAGCACATCCATTTCTTAAATGCCAAAACAATGATTGTATATAAATTTTCAAAATCTCCCTTCTCACCTTGCCGTCAAGCCTACCTCCACCACGGCCTCGCAATCCGGCCAAACCTCATGCACCTCCCTTCTTGCCACTCTAGAGCAGCCCTGCGCAGCAGAACCCTGGATCGCCGAAGCCCCCTTCCCCCACTCCTCGCCGGCATGAGGCTAGCGATGGACTTTGCCATGGGCTGGCGATTGATTCGCGACGAGCCATCTTTCTTAGTCCCATTATCAAATTTGGACTTTGCTACTGATAAATTTGAACATTCAGATGAAGTCTTGAATATTGTGAATATTAGGATTTTGGATCATGGATTCTAATGAATAAGAGGCGTTTGTACTGATTCTTTTATGGTGTTCTTGAATATGTGAAGGGGTTTTGTTTTTGGATCATTGTTTTTGAGGGCTGTGCTTTCCATAGTGAAGGGGTTTTTTTTTTGTCATGGATTGTTTCTGGTTAAGAATGGGCCTGAGGTTGGAGACGATGATTAGAGATTTCTCTTTTTGTTTTTTGTTTTGTTTTTCTTTTTTAATGTTAAGGTTTTTTTATTCCTTTTTTCATTATTTTTGTAATAGTTAATCTTTTGTTGATATATAATTAGAATTTAATATTTGTAATTAAACTCTTATAGCATGCCAACGAATCAAATAATATTATAAACGGAAGTGGATTAAAGGGATAAATTGATCAGTTTTTCATATCAGCCGTAATTAAATATAATTATTTATAAAATTTTTTTATTATAATAAAATTTTAATTTTAAACTCGAAATAAGTGGAATAAAGGAACTCTTGTTTAAAAAAATTAAGGGGCATTTAAAAATATAGTAGATTCGTCAGGGGCATTTACGAAATTAATCCTTCGAAGATCAACGTCTGATAAGAGAGAGAGAGAGAGAGTGCTAGAGAGAGAGGCTTGGGAGGAGAGAAGGAGAAGAAGTTAGAGCACCAAATCGCTGTCGCCTTCCGCCGTTTCGCTTCGTCTCCGGTGACCACAAATTCGCGTAATTTGCTTCTGGTTAGGCTTTTAACTGCCGTAATTTTTTCCTTTTGGTTTCTCTTTTTCAGATCTGTACGAATCTAATCTGTTATCGCGGTCGAAATTTCTGATCGAAATATCAAGTTTTCACTTCTTTTTTGGGTGCCGAATCTCATATGTTCTCTTGCTTCTAAACGATACTAATCTGAAGATTTTTTGCATTGATTTCTTCTTTTTAGGCTTTGGTTTTTGTACGATGGTTGTGGCTTTTTATTTTTATTTTTTATTTTAAGAAAGTGATTTACCTTACACTGTTGGTGGTGTAAAGTCATTAGAAAGAAAGCGGCCATGCAAATTTTGAGGTATGGGACTTTGTAGATCCTGAAAGAACACGAGTTTAATGATTCAAAGAGAAATTGATAAGCGCGAAATTAAAGTTTGCATATTTACGCGGTCTGTGAGACGAACAATCTAAAGCTCAAAAGAATTCTTTGAATCGAAACTTTTATTCTTCTTATTCTTCTTCCGCTTCTTCTTTTTTCCCCTAAAAAGGGTGAAACATACACAAATCTTGTTTGTCTTTGGATTCATGTTTGTTTGTGCATGTGTGTGTGCTTCATTTGCTTTTTTTGTCCCCCTCATTTTAACATCTTGTGCCACAAGCATGGCTTTAGTATGTTTTCTGTAAATTCCCAAAATTATTCCAATTTTTTTTCCCGGTATTTTTGCTGTAAAAAGTTTGTTACTTGAGATGCCCTTTTCAATTTTATAATTCTTGTACTAAATCCCTTATATGATGAACGCGTTTTTGTGAATTCTATTTTTTGGGTCTTCTACAATCATGTCTATATATATAGTATATGCAGTGATTACACATTCTATTTATGTTGATCTGAATTTAATGATTATGCCTTTAGGTTATAAAAAATGGATGGATCAAGTACCCGAGGTGGTGGGAATGTTGATATGATGTTACAAAATTACAAGCTTGGGAAAACACTTGGTATTGGATCTTTTGGTAAAGTCAAAATTGCAGAGCATGCATTGACCGGTCACAAAGTGGCTATCAAGATTCTTAACCGGCGCAAGATCAAGAACATGGAAATGGAAGAAAAAGGTTAGACTAATCTTAAGCAAAAGGAAGAACAAGGTGACCTTCTCGTTTTCTTAGATGGTGGTCCAGTCTGTATGACACGTTCATGATTGGGTCTTGGTTTTTCTTCTTGAACCAAATAATGTCTGGTTTTGATGTTTCTTTTTTTTTTTTTCTTTTTTTTTTGGCGGGGTGGGGGGGTGTAAATTTTTTTGTTGTTTTTCTTATGTTTGTGTATCTGGTTTAGTTGATCGTAAGTGGCTTATTTGTTTTCCTTTTCATTCTTTTTACCGGAAATATTGTGCAGTGCGGAGGGAAATTAAAATATTAAGACTGTTTATGCACCCCCACATTATCCGACTATATGAGGTCATAGAAACACCTACAGACATTTTTGTTGTGATGGAGTATGTCAAGTCTGGAGAGCTTTTTGACTATATTGTGGAGAAAGGTAGGCTGCAGGAGGATGAAGCTCGTAACTTTTTTCAGCAGGTAATTATGAGTAGTTTTCTATTATAGATTTCACGTGGCATTTATTTCCTCATCTCTGAATGAGTTATAATAGCTCGATCATTTGCATGACACAGATAATTTCTGGCGTGGAGTACTGCCACAGAAATATGGTGGTTCATAGAGACCTTAAGCCTGAGAATTTGCTTTTGGATTCCAGATGCAATGTGAAGATTGCTGATTTTGGTCTGAGCAATATTATGCGTGATGGTCATTTTCTGAAGACTAGTTGCGGAAGCCCAAACTATGCCGCACCAGAGGTATGTAATTTCTGGTGTTATGATTGGAAAGGTGTTTTAAGTTTTATTTAGTAGGAAATTTGATTTTATTAAATTTGATTTTATCTTCATTGAGTCTCCAAAGTAACGTTTTGTGTCATTTGTTAGGTTATATCAGGGAAATTGTATGCTGGGCCCGAAGTAGATGTCTGGAGCTGTGGTGTTATATTGTACGCCCTTCTTTGTGGCACCCTTCCCTTTGACGATGAAAACATCCCCAACTTATTTAAGAAAATAAAGGTATTGCTAGATGTCTAGATCTATTATGATTGAATTTGTTATATCGGCTCATATAATCTGTAAATGATAGTAGAATTCTGTGGTTAACAGTGAGCCGCAAATTAATCTGAGTGATTAGTAGTTAATACTTGGTAGTTCATGAATGACAGTCCTTTTCACCCTGATTAGCATCTACTCATGGAATGAATTTACTTATTCGGACGACTTCTAGAGTTATGAACCTTTTCTTTGTTTCTCTGTAGATTTGTTTTGTATACGTCCATCTTCCCATTCTTTTGTCCCAAGTCGAGAACACTTTATTTTCTACCTTTTATTTTTTATTTTATTATTTTCCTCTCTGTCCATTGCTGATTAATTTCATCTCTGCTGTATATTTATGGAGTTTGATTGTCAACTGAACCTACATAATATGTCTTCAGGGTGGGATATACACTTTACCGAGTCATTTATCACAAGGTGCAAGAGACCTGATCCCAAGAATGCTTGTGGTTGATCCAATGAAGAGAATGACCATTCCTGAGATTCGCCAGCATCCATGGTTCCAGGCTCATCTTCCTCGTTATTTAGCTGTGCCCCCACCAGACACTGTGCAGCAAGCAAAGAAGGTTTGACATGGGCTTACAATGTCAATTGCAGTTTTGATTTTCTTTGATATCGGACATATGTGATATACATTTTTGCTATATATTTGTGTCTGTCTGTGTATATTGCCAATACACTCTTAATGAAAGTTAGCAATTCCCAATTTTTTATTACACAACCTTTTTCTTTGGTATATAATTTCTATAGGCTTTATTTACGTTGACTTTTAATTCAGACCTAATGCTTATGACTCTGTTCTCTTGTAGATAAATTCTGCTTTCTATATCGGTCATTCTCGTATCTCGTCTTTTCAATCATTTCCATGCTTCATGCAGATTGATGAAGATATCCTTCAGGAGGTGGTTAAGATGGTGGGATTTGACAGGAACCAACTGATTGAATCTCTTCGCAACAGAGTACAAAATGAGGTTTGGACCTTTGAAACTAATTTATAATATGTTTCCAAACTTTTGTCTCATTGCTTGCAACTTATTTCAGGGTACTGTTGCATACTATTTGCTATTGGACAATCGGTTCCGCGTCTCCAGTGGCTATCTGGGGGCTGAATTTCAGGAAACTATGGTATGTTCTTCTCTGTTATTTTTTTTATTGAACTTTTTCTTGATAAGGTTACTTTTTACTTTTTCTATTGCCTGCTTTTTTCATTCTTGGACTATTTAAATGGAATAAAAGTTATGCTGATGCTCATGTTTAACTATAAAGTTAGGCATCCACGTATGAGGGACTAGTCCCTTTGAGGGATTACTGCTAAACTCGTGTAGTATGCATATTGTTGACCTCTTTGGAGTCATTTTGAGTAAGACTTGTATTTTATGTTGATAGGAAGGGGGTTTCAATCGAATGCATCCGAGTGAGCCTGCTTCTTCACCGGTGGGGCATCGGCTTCAAGGTTATATGGATTATCAAGGGACGGCTCTGAGACCACAGTTTCCCGTCGAAAGAAAATGGGCTCTTGGACTTCAGGTAAAGTTTTATCTAGTTTTTTTAGTAATTATTAAAGTAGACTTAGGAGTAGGATGCCAACTTGCTATGGTATGTTACGGGATTTGACTTTTTGGCACAAAAGGTCACAGCTTCTATCTCCTTCCTGGCTACTTAAAGAGTAGATTAATGTTTTTATTTGTAGAACAATAAGTTAAATCCATCTGTTGATAGGTCTAAGGAGTTAATTCCATCAATAGATAGATCTAAGGACTCATGTTGAGTTTCGTGGAGGGCACAGGATATACACGGCAGTTCTGGGTTATAATGGCTTGATAAAAGCAAAAGCAAAATGTTTTTCACTGCTTATATAATTTGCTTTCATTTTGACAGTCTCGAGCCCATCCTCGTGAAATAATGACGGAAGTCTTAAAAGCTCTGCAAGAATTGCGTGTGGGTTGGAAAAAGATAGGGCATTATAACATGAAGTGTAGGTGGGTTCCTGGACACCATGACGAAATGATTAACAATGCTGGGCACAGTAATCACTACTTTGGGGATAATTCCTCCATCATCGAAACAGATGGTAGTGTGAAACAACCCAATGTGGTCAAGTTTGAAGTTCAGGTAATGTTTCTGCTACGTTGCTTTTGTTCCTGTAATTTCTATATCTCGTCTTATGGACTAATTACAATCTTTGTCTTGGGATAATTTTGTCGTTCTTGGTGCATCTGGAAATAAAACTTGGATAATGGAAAACTACTATTGTGTTGATTTACTCGATCTAATAGGCCCAACTGAAATGCTAATATAATGCTGACTATTGGTCTTCACAGCTTTACAAGACTAGGGAAGAGAAGTATCTGCTCGATCTGCAGCGGGTCCAGGGACCACAGTTTCTGTTCTTGGATCTTTGTGCCGCTTTCCTTGCGCAACTGCGGGTCCTATGATGTAGCGGAGACGATTTCTTAGATAGTGGAAACTACTGCTACCGATGTGAATAATCAAAAAAAGATATTGCAGTGTATATAATCTATCCTTTGGTTTTGGGTCCTTTTCTTATTGTTATTACCGGTTTTATATGGTAATAGTCGTTCGAACTTCGAACTGATCTTTGACAATAGTACTAGCTAAATTACTCGGTCAAGGGTTATGTCTGTTTGCTCTTGCCCCAATATTTTTCTGGGTTTTCTGAAACTGAATTCCTGCTATATACAGAATTAACCCTTTGAAAGTTTCTTTGCATCTTTATAAGTTATAGTAGTTGTAACTTTCGTTGCAGACTTGCGGTTTGAGTGAGCGAGAAAATCGCTTGTACAGGACAGAGCGGGTGCTATTGGTATACGCACGCATCGCCAAATCTTTCCCATGAAAGAAATGGATGCTCGTATAAATCTGATATTTTAAGAATTAGAGATTCGTTTGTTTTATATATTCAAACTCAAATTATTAATTATGCTACAGTAGTTTTTCTCATAAAAAATTTAAATTTCAATCGTCAGAATTAAAAATTTGAACTTCTAAATGGTTCATAGATAGTTTCAATTTTTACAAAGTAGTGCTTTTGACAGAAGACTGAATGACACCCGTGCTTAAAACTTATGCCTAATTATTTTCCCCACATGATTTTGTAATTTCCAAAATATCAATTTCTAATTGCTTGTTTCCTACCACTGAATTTATTTGTAATTTCCAAAACATCAATTTCTAATTTCTTGTTTCCTACTACCAAATTTATTTGTAATTTCCAAAATATCAATTTCTAATTTCTTGTTTCCTACTACCGAATTTGCTTGCCTACCAAATTTACTTTCCTGTATTCAAACAGTCGAGAAGAGGACACCGGGTCAAACTAACATGAACCTGGCTAAGGACTGCATAATGTTGACATATATTACAACCTTTTGAAATGATGCTCATATGATAACTATACAAAAATGAGGTTACCTTAGGCTTGGCTAAGCCGGAATTTTTAAAATCATTTCAAACCGTTTGGTATTTATCCTCCTTTAAAAATACTTGGGATCTCTTCGCTTGTATCTCTTAGACCCCGTTCATTTCACCGATTTGAGTTTAGAATTTGAGTTTTGCTACACTAAAGAGTTTTCAGAAACATTCACATCTAACTTTTTTGCTACAGTAAAAAGCTCTCACATAAAATTACATTTCAACTCAAATTAAAAAGGAAAATAGTAAAAAATAGGTCAATATGAAAAGTTTAAGAAAGTATATAGGTCAATTTTTAGTTATAGAAATTAATAGGTCATAATTTGTCAAGTTATAGTTCATAACCAGATAAGTTATGGACAAACTCGTCAAGTTATGGTTCATAGCCAGACAAGTTATGGACAATTATGGACAATAACTTGTCAAGTTATGGTTCATAACCAGACAAGTTATGGACAAAAACAGTAATTTTGCCTATTTATTAACTTATATAAACTATTGACTCATTAATTTTAATTCATCTCAAATCTTGATCTATTTTCCTCTTTCTCTCTCAAGTTATGGTTCATAACCAGACAAGTTATGGACAAAAACAGTAATTTTACCTATTTATTAACTTATATAAACTATTGACTCATTAATTTTAATTCATCTCAAATCTTGATCTATTTCCCTCTTTCTCTTAATTAAAAACTCAAATCAGTAAATTAAATGGGCTTTACTATTGCTGGGCCATCTACTTTCAACAAGTCAAAGCGTTCGGTGTGCAACAACATTCATCACCCATTCATGGCATTAACATTACATGACGAACAAAAGTTAAAAAAAGAAAGCAATGGAATTTCTTATTTGCTTAACATATATATATATATATATATATATATTAAGGATTAGCATTGTAAAAATAATTATGAAATCTAAAGTCTTGACATGAATTGGAAAAATGGGATGTTAAAGATGAATCAGTTAACAAAGCAGATGGGTGGAAGATCAAGTGAGCTCCAAAGGGACAGTTCACCATCAGTGCCAAAAGTAGAGGAAGAAGACCCCGCATCATTAGATGTTTTGCGGTCGTCTTCCTCTCTCACTTTCACATCTTCTTTCTTTGCCATCTCGTCTTTGTTGTTCTCTGTGTTGTTGTTGTTGTTGTTGTTGTTACAAGCATTTTGCAGGTTCCTAATTAGTTGGTCAGACCTTCCTGATCTTCCATTCACATTCGCTGCTCCAATCTTCAGCTTCAAGCACTCAGGTATTCCGTTGAAGGCATAGAGCGAGGCCGAGAATTTCCTCTCATATTTCATCCTCTTCATGGCAGCTCTAAGCATAGAAGGCTCGTCCGAATAGGCCTCGGGCTCCATTATCGGCTCCTCTATCTCTTCAGCAATCTCGAAAGGAGAATAGTAACAAGATGATTTAACATCATCCACAAACTGGAAGTCCAAGTCCCTCAGGTCAGTTCCTTGTTCCTCTCCATCATCTTCTTCTCCGTGAGAATTTCCGTACTCCACACTCGAACTCGGCCCTGACCCATCGCTAAAATTGTACTCCAAATCGGCTTCTCTCCCTCTGCAGCCTTCCCTCTGAGTCAAACATGACTCAAAGCTTGATGTCATGTCGTCTATGGTGGCTGCACTAATGTTGTTATTGCCAATCATGTCATTGTTGCTTATGGTGTAATCTTCTGGATCATTGAGGAAATCTGTGAATTGGGTGTCTGAGAAGTCCATTGGTTCCTCCTCTGCATCATGTTGATATTGCTGATGTTCGACGGGAAAAGAAGAAGGAGGTGAAACAGCAGAACTAGTGTTGAGGCTGTTGTTTCTTGCTTTGAGCCTCTGAAGAAGAAGGTTTGTGATCTTTGAAGGAAGAGCCGGGGACGAAGAAGATGACGACGAACAAGGCCAGAAGTTTGTGCGAGTGTTGGCTCCGCGGAGCAGGCAAGCAGCCTCGTCATAGGCCCTGGCTGCTTCCTCAGCTGTGTCAAATGTGCCTAACCAAACTCTTATCTTTTGTATTGTGTCCTTGATCTCAGCCACCCATCTGCCTGATGGCCTTTGCCGCACCCCAACAAAGCGCTTTCGAGCTCTTCGTGCTCCGCCTAGTGCAGCGGCTGCAGCAGCTTCCTTCACCATGTCATCCCAAGCCATGTTTCCCTCACTTGAACTCTTGTCTTCCACTCCTTCACTAGCAGCTTTTCTCTTCCTTGCCATATCTCTTTCTTTTGGTATTCTCAACTTTTGTAACTTTGTTTCTTTTTCGAGGTTCTTCCTTAATCTTTAGTAGATCACTTGAGAGTTTTTGAGTGTTTTCTTTTTTGTTTGTCTGAAGATGGTAAAGTAGTACTTGGAAGGTTTAGATGTTGTGGACCAGCTGGTTCTGTTGGCATGTATATTTATATGGAGGCGAATGAAGATCATGTCAAATTAAAATGCAGCTTTGAAAAGGTCTACTGCAAAGCAATTGTTCTCATTTCTTTGTTTCTTTTTAATTTCGGCTTCATTTGCCATATGGAGTTAAGCAAATTAAATTAATGTTGCTTTGACCTGGCCAAAGATGTCCAGAACAAAACAATAGTTTTTTTTTTTTTTTTAGAGAAAAAAATAATATTAACATGGAAATGCTAGCCTGAATGAGTCATTACTTCTTTTTGTCTAATATTCTTTTCATGGTTTTATGATCTCTCTTGTGGCAATTATCTTTATGAGTAAATAAACCATAGTTGTAATTTATTTTTTATTTTTCTTTTGGTTAGCACAAAGGACGTGGAAGCATTGAACTCATCGCTATGGGAGGAAACTGAAAAGTACATATTGTACCTTTTTCATTGTATCTTCACATGGGATGGAAACACATGTCATTGGTATAAGCAACCAAAATGATTGATTACCCAAGAAGTAAAACAAAACAAGGACTTGTTATTTACTTTTCGGATGCTGCAGAAAGATAGTGCAGTCTTCTATTTGCATGACCATTTCAACATCTATCTCATCATCATCAAGATATCAATTAATAAACATTACAAATGGAAAATCCTATTTTTCTCTATGGAGTGAAGTTATGAGTTATGACTTTATATACTTACATATCAAATTGAAGGGGAAAAACAACAAAGTATGTTAAGCCAGTTTGGTATTCCTTTTAGAGACCCCAAAAATTATGTGTTTCGAAAAAGTGGACAAAAGTGTATGCATTCACGCATGTTATTTTAAGAAGTTAGATGTTTTTGTCAAACTAGGATCGCATATTTGAGAGAAACTTTGCTAAAGTTGGAATGATGATGTATGATTATTTGTAAACATGTTAAAATCTTGCTTTTGGCAATAAATTAGTATGAGACTTTTGCTTACTTTATCGGTAAAGCTTTGTTTTGAACCATCATATTAGTATTAGATTTTATCAGTTTTGCATGTTTTTTTATTTTAATGTGATTTTAGCTAGATTTAAAGTTTAGAAAGTACATTACGGCAGAGTATAAATCTTCTCAAGATACCCCAATGTAAAGGCAGCGGTTATAAATCTTGAAAAGAAATGAACTTTTTATATCCAAGTACTATATCTCTTTCTTGTCCTACATAAAACAAAGCCATTTTTTTAAGAGGCAAAAAATCTTGTACTGTTTTACATAAAAAAATTATACTGAACAAGTCCCTTTCATCTCATAAATAAGATTAAATAAATTGCCTCGGATGATCAAACCAAAAATAGTTCTTTTTCGTTTTGCAGTTGTCTTCAGCGACAAGGCAAGAAAAACGGTTTTTCCAAAGCCCTACAATGAGAATATCCAGACCAATAATATGGCGCTAAGAAATATTTTAATTATATGATCTGCTGAATTTTTTTTCTTTTTAATTTCAAAATCATATTTTAATCCACTTGTTATTGAAGCTCCATTAATTATCTTATTTGTCATAATCTCTCTCTTGATTTATTATCGTCACCCCAAAAAGGTTCAGACAGTGACATTCTTAGACTTTTTCTCAAATTATTGAAATTCGCTCTAGTTCCTACGCAATATAAGGAAGGAATATTCTTATTTTATTTAGCTCGTTGAGTTTGAGTTTTGCAGTATATTTCTTCATTCACCATTGAACAAGCACAGAAAAGTTACATTGGTAGGACTTCAAAAATGAACTGCCGTAAAGATTCTGTTTTCAGCCGTAAGTTTTATAGTAAAAATTGTTTATTGTTTGCTATGCATTTTAACCGGATGTAACGTTCTTCATTCACCATTGAACAAGCACAGAAAAGTTACATTGGTAGGACTTAAAAAATGAACTGCCGTAAAGATTCGGTTTTCAGCCGTAAGTTTTATAGTAAAAATTGTTTATTGTTTGCTCTACATTTTAACCAGATGTAACAATCATAAGTTGACTATATTAATAGGGAAGCTTCTAGTATCAAATTTATGAGCTTATGACTTCCCAAAGAAATATGAGGAGTACAAGATCTCAAAACTAGGAAAATGGTGGATAGAACACAACATTATGGAAGACAAAGTTAAAATGTTTATCCACTTATGACAGAACAAAAGCAACAAACTAAAAATGAAAAAAAAAAAAAGAATAACAGAAGCAAAACTTGTAGAGATTCTAACGGCAGTTATAACAAAAGAAGAGACAAATAAGATTTTTTTGGTTGAAAAAGAGACAAATAAGTAATAACGCTGATAATCTTTCTACTCAGCATTTCTTTGGTTGGTTTTTACTCTCCCTTGAAATTAACCATTCCAATTCCAAATAAAATACTTTTTATACTTAAATAAATAACGCTTATATCATTGTATGTATATAATTAAATATGAGATGAAGAGAGCCATAGGTCAGCATGAGGTTTTTCAATTACTTTCTGTTTGGACTTTGGTATTAAAGGTCAGCAGCAGCATACATTTGAAAGTGATCATAATACTACTAGCGTGAACACTAGTCTAGAATGGCACCTTTTCTATTTTTCTAATTTTATAATAAAAATTTAAACCATAAAAAAATTATTTGCCACATTTTTCTTCTCTGCTGAGTATATTATTCGATTATTCTTAACATTATTAAAGTGAAGAGAATAAAAATACTTGAGAAAACTTTGAATTTTGTCATCGTAGGAACCTGTCAATGGCCATTCTGGAGACTCCACGTGGAGGTCCAGTGCAACATTAAACTTAGTTAGTTGGCAATGCAAAGACAAGAAGGAAACTATAACAAAAACTGTATTCAGATATTACAATACCATTTTCAGATGAGTAAAATTGAAAAGTTTTTCAACAAAGAAGCTTCCCTCAAAGTAAGGGATTAATCAGACGCCATATGTCGTCTAGATTCAAGCATAGCTTCTTAAACCTTTAACAGAATTTATGCACACTGAATTTTTTTTAAAAAAAATAATTAATAAAAAAGACAGTTGTTAAACAGTATTTACTATTATATTTTCAGATTTAGATAAGAATAAAAATGAGTAATAGAATGGCAAAGTATAACAAAAAATAAACAGAAAAAAATAATGAGTGATAAATGATTTTGTCAAACTAGACTGGTTCCAAAACTTAGGAAACCTATTGAACAAGATAGTTTCTGATGAAGTTCTCTTTTCCATGTTTTGAAAGTGCAGGCCTAGAGCAAAATGCGCTTTGATTCCTTAGAATATACACTTCTAGATTAATTCATGTTTGTAAACCCAGCATGACTAAGTTGTGTCAAGAAATTCATTGACAAACTTAGTACGCTGAACATTTCTTCAACATATAGCTATCCATTTGTAAAATCCTTCTTTACAAAAGCTGGGATTAGGAGCTAGGACAACCATAGCCTGTTCGGCATTGCTTCCTAGAAGTAGTTCTCTACTTCTTGAGTCCAAAAATTGCTTCTAAGAAAGACTTTGAAGACGAGATGACGAAATATGGCCTTTCAAGAAAACTATTCTAAGAAAATTTTGAAACTTGTACCAAAACTGCTAATAAGATTTTATAAACTTTATTCTAATATTATTATTGCTTATAAATTTAATTTCGCTGTTATTTTTGTCTCATGAAGCTTCTTTTTTTTTTTTTTTTTTTTTTTTTTTTTTTTTTTAAA